CCATGTCAACCTTATGATTTTTCATATTTAAAAGGAATTAATGAATCTTATCAGCTGTTTCAATTAAACAAGTTGGTTCTGTTCTATGATGTTCAATAGCTTTAAAGTTACAAGGATTGCCAACAGGGTGCAGCACTATTATTATTTTTTTAATTTATGACAACAGCTAATTTGCAACCAAAAGGTGAGTGAGCGTAGCGAACGAACTTCAACCTGGAGGCGAGTTAGCGTAGCGAACGAGCTAACCTGAAGGCAAGTGAGCGCAGCGAACGAGCTCCAACCTAAAGGTGAGTGAGCATAGCGAACGCACTTCAACCAGGACGTTCGCGTTTGAGTCATGCGAACGAGCTCATCTTGAAAATTAAGAAGTTAAACGGGGCAAAGCCCGCGGGTACAGCTAGTTATAAATATAAGTAAGGAAATAATTAGCAACCACATGCATACTCACCCCCTACGAAAGAGTAAAGAGATAGTAAACAAAACATAAAAAACTGCAAATAGCTCACAGTCATAATCGTTATCTTTTAATTGCGTTGTGATAGAGCTGAGTTCAGTGTCATTGACCAAGTGCTAGTTACATCAAAATGGAGTACCTAGATTATTTGGAGTATAAGAAAATATAAATAGTGTATCAATAACCCGCCACAGAAAACCTGCAGACTAAGCGAATTTCCAAATAACCTAATAGAGCTTTCAATTAAATTTATTTAAATAACTTTAGGTCTAACAAGCACCTGAAACTACCTACGGTGTAGGTATGCTGCTACAGGGAGGGTAATAAAGTGTGTTTTTAACAAAATATTAACAGCTTTATAAAAAATAAATAAATTTGCCAAGTTTCATAAAAATATATCCTATACAACTCCGGGTTCCCTTGGTCTGATCATGCTGGTTCGCGAACTCATTAAGGAGAATCGCGCCTAACACTTTCATGCCAAATTTTATCAAAATCAGACAAAAATTACTCAAGTTATCACGTATATATAATACATTTATATATAGGCAATACATATATAAAATTTTGAACGAACAGTGTTTTTGGCCTCTAGGGACATCAAAATGGAAAAGTTTATCGGTCCCGGAACTAAGTGCTACCTACGGTAATAGATACTTCCCTAGGAAAATTAGATAAAAGAGTGTCATGTAAAAAAAGATTTTAAATTGACAACAATTTTTTCTAAGTACTGTATTAAAAGATTTTTTTTTACATTTACCTTGGCTTCACACAATCATAACCTCCGCTATTACTTTTTATTTATTTTTTTTTTTTTGTTAATACCCCTATATTATACTGGGAAATTACTGTTTGATGTTGAAGCTTTTTATTGCATGAAACCGAGTTTCCGATGTTAATCATATGTTGCTCTGTACGTATTTATAATGTGTAGTACTTAAAAGACAACTAGTAGTACTTAAGGATAACTGATTAAATAATTATAAATCGTTAAGTGAAAATAAAGTTAGATCTTAAAAGAATTTAATTTAAACAATTACGGTTCTTCAGTCATTGGGATGTAAAACAACGATCTTACAAAACTACATTTTTGCAATGGTACAATGCAGAACCATACACCATAGTCTACTAATTAGCCACCATTGATATACCAAGATAAAATTGTATCCATCTTCAAAAAGTGTTCATCTTTTGTTGTTGTCAACGGTAACGGGTTCTGTAATGGCCGTTGCCAACGTCAAAACCTGAATTCCCCGCGATTCCCTGTCCATCTAGCCGCGCTGCAACTTAGGCGCGACTATACTTGATCTACGACCATTTCAACTTAGGCGCGAGCTCCCAAGCCTGGTTTCTGGTCCGGGGACTAAAGTTAGGCGCGTCCAACACTAGGCGCGTACTAGCTGGGCTCGAGCTCCCAAACCGCCCCTAAGTGTTTTGGGAACTGATTGGGATAAAACTCAACTTTGGGATTTCCCATGCTAAACAGTACATAAAAAGTAAACCATTGGTTTTAAGCTAAGGTTAGAAGATAAGTTTCCATGTGTGGTTCTAATATATAATAATCGACTATCCACAGAACTGTCCAAATTCAAAGGAAATCGGATCATCGGATCTGTAAAAAACAAAAAAAAAACGTATACCTACAATACACACACTATTTGAGCTTGCGAATACCACGTTGAGCCTTAAATACAATAAATTATTCTCAATAACACTAACTCATAGATATCTAAGCAACAATACATATCAGCTGATCGGCAGTGAAGCAAAGGAAACCGGGATACCAACATAAGCTGTTTTTTTTTTCATTCTGTCTCGCGGTAGTATAGTAATATCAATCTATGATAATATTATTTGGGTCGCGTTCAAAAACACCCTATACAGTATATAATACCCATATGAGGTAAATGTACTTTAAAAGTTACAAATTAAGTAGACCTAGCAATAAATAAATGGTCTACTTCAACCCGAGTTAAGGAACACCTAAAAATTGTCTTCAGCTGATTCAAAAGGATGGTAAATCGATGGACAAGGTATTGAACCCAAAACCTTTCCTACATAAAACTTATCTTATTTGAAGCTAATAATAAACATATCAATCACATCCTCGCTTGAGGCTAGCGCTAACTTTTAACATAAACAGATTAAAATTCCTAAGCCACAGTAAAAACATATTTAGGTTAAGTATTCATTGATACAAGATTACAACCACTAATCCTGTGGATATGTAATGTAATACTGGATTTTACATAACATTGGAGCTTTTACTGTTACTTGATATTTGTTTACATTTTGTTACTTTGTTTGTAGTAGTTTACCAACGAGAAGGTTCTTAAATACAAAAAACAGCAAACTGAGTCAAGTTTTGGAAAGATTGATTTTGAAGTTCTTGAACCACAGCTCGATTTTGAGTTAAAACTCTTCGAACGTTCTTTAGCTTCCGATATAACTGTGCATAGTTTCTGTTTGTGTCAGGAAATGAAATACATTATTTTAAAGATGTTTTTATGTACTGTATTATCTATAATCTAGCATTGCACATAAGTTAGTGTTTCTCCACAAAAAGTTCTTGAGCTTGAACCAGACCAATTATACTTTGTAAATAAATTGGTTGCATGTCATCTGAAAAAAGCTGGGTGGCCTTCATTATGCAAACGTCATTAAGGAAGACAACAAAGTTGATTTAAAAATAAACCAAAAACATAATTTGTTTACTATATTTGAGTTTTAAATAGTAAGTTTATGTAGGTAGGAAACCTATATTCCGCCATATAACAAGAGGTTTCTCCAAAGCACTTACACGGAGTTCACTGTTCTGTATTTATGCGAGAGTCACAACACGTAAAATACATTAGTGTATCTTGTGAATGGAAGGGACTGTAAATTTAGAGATAACCTAGCACGATCAGCTGGAAACTTGGTGAGAAACTTGGCTGAATGGACAATGCAATACTTACGGATATGTGGGGTGTAATAACTTTATTAAGTACATAATCTTATTCTAGCATATTTGTAATATGCTCATATAATATCTTCCCATCTTTTACTTATTATAGTTACAGTAGTAGCTATCGAAATCCAACATATTGCCAGTATTTTCATGGGTTGGACATTTTATGGTTCGAAAGTGGACCCAGCTGTTCCTGATCAATGAAACAGCTGATCTAGTAACAAAGCTACACAGATCATCTCATTTCATTCTACTCCTTCACTTATTTGGGTTAAAATACGCACCTAGGTGGCGTCCCCATCTCAATTGATAATTATAGTCTAATAATGTACTCCCTTACAAATTACCAACCTTAATGATCAGCTGAAGACAATTTAAGATAGTTTAGGCACTGATTTTTTGAATAGTGGAAGCTTTGTTAATGTGAAGTGAGTGTTGATGTGTTACTATTCGTTTCTTGGCCATTTTTCCAACCTTATCACTCTAATCACAACAAAAAGAACCATGTACAATAGCTTAGTCTTTGGCATTTTAAATTTTGGCGAAAAATAAAGAGCATTACAAATGTTTCTAATTTTTATACAGTTAAAAACGCAACTTATTACGAAACACGCATCAGAACATGCTTTAGATTTTACTCAAGAACGAGAAAAGTACTACTGTAGCAGTTTTCAAAGACATTATAATTTCATCTAATGTTATTTTCTCCTCTTCATAACCCTGAACAGCCATTATTCCATTGTGTGTTTGTTCTAGAGATAAAGCACGGTTTTTGTATCCAGCCAAAGTTCTATTATTTAATAAACCTCCAAGTGGTTTGTATGATTGTCTTAAATGGAAATGTAGAACTGCAAAGTCATTGATTGTTGAATTGTGTAGGTTCCATCCGTTCCATCCGCACTATTAACTTCGGATATTTCACGTACATTTCATCCTATCCTACCATGCAGCATTTTCAGGTATTTTTCATGACCAGTTGAGTATTTCGACAGACTGTGTTTTCCTTACTTTCAGGGTAATTTTACAGTTTGCATTCTTAGATTATACTATCCGACAATTAAATGTTTTCATTTTTGACGTTTTGTTTTGTTGAATTCAAATTTTGGCAAAATAAGAAGGAAAAGGCGTTTTTACGGAAAACGTTTTACTCCAGTCAAATCAATCCCTACAAAAATGCGTTTTCATCAGTTTCTTACATTTTAAGGAAGTAAGAAATGAAATTATGCTTATCAATGCCCGGTATCTCTGTGGTGTTATTTCATCCTCCAACCAATTTGAGCTTATTACTAAAGTTGTCCAAAGATTCCATTGCAAGTTGTTTACGTATATGAAGATGACACGATGGCGCAAAATTGTTTTTCTTGATCAAGAATAACACTTTACCAACAAAAATACTTTAATAGCATAGTTATTTTAGTGTTTTACAGAGAGTATTCCATTAGTTTGACTACACTTGGTAAATTTTGACAAAAGAAAATAAACACACCATTTTCAAGATGTACAACCACGTTTAACCAATAATGTACTTTCGACACAAAAACTACTTTCATGGGAAACAGTTATAGAAAGTGTTCCAGCAAGAACAATACTACTTACCATTTCAAAAGATAAACACACAGAGACACACACACGAACACCTGAAGTAACCGACTGAGGACTCGAGGACTGACAACTGACTGGACAACCGACTAAACACTAAACGAGAGAGAAACTCTCTCTCTCTCTCCCCCCCCCCCCCGCGTCACGCAGGTCGCTGACTCAGGGGTATCCCCGTGTCGTAATCTCCAAGACTCGAGGTAATCCGCGATATGTTGAAGGTCTTATCTCGGACGCACCTTAGTTGATAACATCTGAAGAAATCCGGAAACTTGTATATAGGAGCGAGGAGAATGCTTTTAGAAATTGATGTAGATGGTTTGAAGCGTTGATGTAGATGATAGAAATTTTCTGTTGATTCTAACGTGATTTCTTTCATTTTTTTATATTTTTTATCTGTAAAGGTTTAGGTTAGGCTACCGGGACAATTTGAAACCTCAATTGTGTGTTGATACATACAAACTGAGTAGGGGGGAATTAACGGAAAAGAATGTGGGAAGTGTTTGACAGTTTGTTTTGTCTTGACAATAATAGCAAACATAAATAAAAGAATATATTGGTCGTAAGGTAAACTACCAAGCATGTTAGATAAATTACAATTATTTGAATTCTTGTCGTAAATAGTGCATTTTTCTATAGTAGTTTACATTATAATTTAATCAATCATACTATAGTCCGTTCACAAAATCTAGGCGGTTTGAGGAGAAGTTCCCCCACCAAGTTTTTTCTGCATATGCATGTGACAGCTGATTGACTTTTTGATAAATCTCAGCTGTTGAGCTATGTTTTGGTAGGATAAAGTGATAAAGACGTGGAGGAGATAGGTTTCTTCCCCTAACCCGTCTAGATTTTGTGAACGGAGTTAAAACAGCAACTTACTTTGAATACATATCTTAAGCTGAAAATAAGTGAGAGGATAGCTGTATAATGCAGTGGTTGATTTGTATTGCATTGTTCAGATCAGCTGTTTAGTCCAATGATTAGGACAGCTTGTCCAATTTTGAACAGCACAAAATTGACTTTTCTCAGGATTGGACCGGCGGCTTCAAGACTCCTCAGCTACCAACAAATCAATAATCAGGATCTAAAATCAATGGTTGATGTATGCAATTAAAATGCAACATGGCTTAACAGTAAATGCAGCAAATGCTGCATTTACTGTTAAGCCATTGTCTTGACAACATAGGTTGTTGTCAAGACAATGTACATCTTTTGGGCCAATTTAAAGGTTTGCCTAACAACTTCCTTGCAACAATCAAACAGCTGATATTGCATGTAAACTCATTAGTGGTCGTGTTACCTAATTGAAAGCTTAATCTAGTGGAATAGTTTTCACTTAGTGGCTGATACTGGGTAATGTCTGGTGAGGAAGCAATTTAGAAGTATAAATAATTCTACATTACTTTTTGTTACTGCTAATGGCTGTATGGAAGTCGGCATTCTCTCTGAATGCCATGGGGTTCTAAGTTTTCTCGCGATTTTATTTCTATTATTGTTGATGGAAGAAAGAGTTGGGCCCATTGTGGCTACAAGAGAAAATTTACACAACTAACAAATAATAAATAAACTCAATTATACCACTATACAGTTTTCTAAAACAACGCAATCATTGCAAATAAACCAGATATACCAAATAGTATTCAAAACAACTATGTAAACATTGTGATTTTCTTACTGTTTCCATGGAAACCAATTCAGACCAATAAGATCGGGAATAAGACGGAATGCTTCTCATAGTGTACCCAGTACCCCAAGCCTCGTGGCAATCGAATGAACGGTCTAAAAAATTATAGACCGGACACAAATTCAGTTTTTTATGTAAATATATATATATAGATTTGGTACATACAGATATTATGAGGTTAGACAAAAAGATTCCTCATCTTTTGACTACTGTTATGCCGTTAGTTACTATTTTGTATTGTAAACTTAATACTTTTGCAATTTCCAGTATGAACATTCTTGTTTGAGTCATTTTGAGTCTCCACCGTTGGGATATCCAACAGCTATAGGTCAATGCAAGGGCAGCTGTATCAATGCCATTGGACATACTGACGAAGTTGCGGGCCTTAACTTATATGGCCGATGTACGCAAACAGTAAAATTGCCACAATCGCGTACATATTAGCAATAGCATCTTTGTTGGCCAGAATTGTAAAACCACACCCTTTAGTCTATGAACTATTACATCTTAAAGCAATAACTTAATTATTATTGTATAGTTGTTATTGATGTAGTAAAGCAATAATAATTTTCGTTGATGAAACTAATTGCTTAACATCAAAAATTCAAAGTAACTTATTGATTACCACGGTTTCATCATAGTTGTGCTAACGGTTACAGCATCCAGCATCAGATATATTCTATTCATCAGTTTATTTCAAAAAGCAAACTTTGATGCTTTGATTTATTGATTTGCACTTTTGCTTTTAAATGCAAAAACGTACAAACCAGCTGTTTACGGTTATAGTAGACGTTCGAGCCAGTGACATGATCTATGTCGATGTTTATGGTTAGATGGTTAGTTTCTTTTCTGATATTCGTGGTTATAATACAGTACCTAAAAAAATAACCACTTCTTTAATAAGGCTGTGACCTCCCCGTAGAGATGCATGAGTATAGCGGTATAGCTAGTCTACTAATAAATAAAAACAACCGCTACTTATAGCTACTTTAAGTTTCCAACTACTGTACTTTAAACGCATTGTATATCTCCAAAGGCGTGTAACGAGTCTGTATAATGCTGAATTTAATTATTACTAATTCATCTCTAACCTTAATTTTAGTCACAATTAACGCTGCATTTGATCGTTTCTTGATAAAGGCCTATTTGTTCATCACACATTCAGGATTTGGTATGACTCATTTACGCCTACAAACCTATTTCAAGAGCCATTAGACCCATGCATTAGGCAACATCCCTCTACCAGAGAGAGTGTGTTATCGTTGACTTTAGATAATTAGATACGGAAGTTAACTTGGAGAACTTCCGGATTGAGGGTTTAAGTTGGCCGAGCATTGGAGTGGAATGATTTTGTTTCATAACAGTAGTGTTTTTAATCATTGATAAACATAGGCCTACTCCCTTTATTTTGTTGATTAGTCAATGGTGTAATGCTCTAGTATTATAGTCAAAAGTGGCTAGTGTTCGAAATATAAACATACAATCACTTACTGTAGTCATAGATACACTTTGTATGGCAATCCAAATATACAACAGTCAATTCACACAATTTTAGTCATCATCACCATTTAGTAGAAGCAGCAAGTGAAATGAACATTGTGAGCGATATTTGATAAGGTCAGAGAAAATCTTCGAGTCGTCGGTGCAGCCAGAGTAGCATAGAAAGTTTAGACTTTCGCTCTCAAAGAAAGTCTATGCAGTTCCGTCAGGCTTATTTTTAAAACAGTGAACAACTCTTAATTTAAGTATTCTTTTAATTAACGAGCAAGAAATTTCTGTGTTAATTGGCGTGAGTGAAGTTAATTTTCCTAATTAACTAATTTTCGGTAAAATGGGGTATTTTTTAATAAACTATTTTTAGTTGCAAACAAGATGAGCGTGATATTTGGGCTAAGCAGATTTTAGGATGCCTTCATTTTATTTTGGCTAGCCTCAGCAGCTGTGCTGCAGGCTACAACTGAAAATCGTGATATAAGAATCGTTTTATTTGTCGCGATCGCGGACGACATCGTTGTCAAGTTATCGCAGGATAATCACGAATTCTCCGCGATCGCGGATCACAGATGTTCCCTAGATCGGAGGAGGTTGTCCACGATTTATTTGGGATCGAGAGTACCGGTAACGATCATGATGTCCTCTCGATTGCGAGAGATGTCCACAACTCCTCCGTGATCGCAGGTTATCACGATGATGTTCCCTTGACTGCAGGAGATGTTTACGATTATTCCTCCGCGATCACTAGTGATAATGATGATGTTTCGTCGATCGCGACAGATGTTCATGATTTTGCCGCGATCACGGTTAAGTTCCTGGTTCCACCTGGGGGCCGGAGGGAATAATTTGAATTTGGCCTAGGGCCACAAATAACCCTAAGAGCCCTGCCGGAGTTGCCGTACCCAATGGTTCTAGTTAAATGTAATGTTTAGTTAGTTTCATGATGTTTAATTCAATTTTTATTCATCCAGAAAAAGAAACATTACAATATATTTTTTTACACCAAATACTCTGTACCACATGTTTCAGTCCAGGGAGCCGAAACTCCAGAGTACTGAGGCCGTTCTAGGACAATGTCCTCTACAGCCAATAATGTCTAATACAATTTTGGGAATACCTTGTGTGAAAGTACTGTACAGGAATTTATTAGTGTTGCGTTCTCATTCATATGCAACATGACACGACTGAAGTCTTCTTCCTTTTATACCTTTTAAACAGTACATGCTGTAGGTGTTTAGTACACTCAAATCCAGAATTCGAACAATATCCGAAATGTTTATCCTTTTCGTGATGTGGACAAAGTGTGAAAGACTCACGTCACTGCATAGGCATTTATACAGCCATTAAAACGTCCATTATTTTGGGTAAACTGATTTACTCAAATTGCCACAGTAAGTTTCAAAATTCTTTGGAGATTTGGCAGAACAAAACTCTGGGAAAAAATGATTTTCCTCAGCTGTGGTTATTTATCAATTCGTACAAACACCAAATATCCTTTAAAAACTATCTTATACTATTCTGCATCAAGTTCACAATCTAACTAGGTTATGTAAAATGAAATTAATTTGGTACTTGAAATTGCATGACATTTTTTGTATAAAAAGGCCTATTATAAGACATACAAAGACATTGAAATAATGTTTTCTCACAAAAAGAACAGTTTGCCCCATTACACATTTCTTTTGTATCTATGTAGTTTTAGCGCTAAGATTTAGCTCTAAAATGTATTTAGAGCTGCATTTTATATTGAACAATGCATTTACAAGATTTACTTATCAGATGATAAATTCTTGCATTAGATGGCATCATTGCTTCTTTAGGTTGAGTTGCTAGGTACAGTTGGTGCAACTTCTGGAATAGGTAAGTTTCTCGAAAACTGTTTGTCAAGAACTCCAATGTTTTGTATCAAGAGTATAATGAAAATATGTATTGTTATTTACTACAACTGGAAATAAATTTCTAGGTGCTAGTCTGTAGCGGTGGGGGGGGGGGGGGAGAAAGAAGGTGAGATCTATGAGAGAATGATTGCTATATGGGTGTTTGAGATGGGATGTTTGGGATATTGGTGGGAATTCGGGAAATGTAGAGAAAATAACCGGGGTAATGCCAAAGGGTTTGGAATAGCTGTGTCTGGACCAAACTTAAGTGAAGCGTGCTGAATCTGCTACCAATATTTTTAGGAAGATTGCTGGGGACCAGAGGGACAAGAGCAATCCCTGCATATTTGCTGTGGAGAGGGGGGCAAGGTGGGGGTTGCACCTTTTACCCAGATCAGAACACTTACCTAGCCAGCTTTGATTCACACTAATTTAATTAACTATTTAAATATATCCTTCCAAACACTAATAACTGAACATGGTGAATTGGATGCTAATACTGCTGAGTGAATAAATGCAATGATCTATCGATTAATTTCTGAGGGTAAAATATCAATGAATTTAATTGAGAAATGGTAAGGAACAATCTGGGGACATGTGATTAAATTTTTTATGTTCGAAAAGTCTAATGATAATTCCTACATTTCAAAAGTCGGGCGAACACTGAAGGGTTCCGGCTTGCTTCCTGACTTAGTCAGACATATTAATTTATCATATTCCTGAACAATACTTAACTATAACTTTATCCCATATCTCGAGCAGGAGTTCTCAATTTTGGTGTAGCCACTTCAATCCTTAGCCGGTGAAGAGAGAGTAGGTAGGAGAGCTGGGGGGAGAGCGTTAGTGCAGTCGCAGCAGGTTACGAGCTGGTCATGTAGCCCGGCTTCGCGAATGCTCACACTATAAAAAAATATAGCGTGCCGCTGTGTCACAAGTCCCTCCAGTCGACATCAGCAATATCCATCCACATATTGTGTGGTGTTTACACAAACTATAAATAAATACCCATCTCCTGGCAGGGAAAATCACTTTGCTCCCATCGCATTGTGGGGATTTGGATCTGCTCAATCCCGAAAGAACGTTTTTACTCCGGCATTTGAGTAAATAAATTAACCCACAATACAACCTGTTCTGGTAGTTTGGATTAGGCCAATGTCTAAATAAAATTCCCAATCCACGACGTGATCATTTCACACTGTCTACATCACAAAGTGGGTAAAAATGTTGGACATTGTCCGAATTTGGAGTATGAGCGTGACATTTACACTCAGTACGTTTGCAGAAAACGATTGTTGTTTCTTTGAAATGGAGAAATCCCATGATTATTTTGTTTGGTCTACACTTTTGTACTGTGTTTTAGTGTGCTGATTCGAGGATGCAACTGAAGATTTGCCTCATAAACCAATTAATTGTCATGGAGTAAATGTGGTACTCAACAATGAATACAAACCCTTTAATAAGCAAATGCTTATAAAGAATAGTCAGACTGGAATCTTGCCGCCGAAATGAGCTTTGCGCGGCAGCTGCTAGGATCACTCGTGATGATCGCTATCTATATATATCTCTCTCTCTAAGCCGATTCCTTGTCTCACTCTCTCTCTCTCACTCAGTCAGCTGACTTGGCAGCACGCTTGCAATAAGCCGGGTTTACACGCTCCGATAAAACATAACGACTTGTCTGCAACGACTAATCGTTACGTTTTGTCGTAGGTTGAGCGGACCATTTACACGTTCCGTCTTTTCCTCTAACTTTGGCTCTCAAACCACTCCCAAATGTATCTTGTTGTGAAGTAGTTAATAGGCTCCCTGTATATTTAACGATGGACAAGTTATTGTTATGGTCTGTTTACATTATTTCTGTTGCAATAAGTTGTAAGAGGAAAAGAAAACCTACAAGTAAGTGGTGTCGGCATTGGCTACTGAAAAAAAGTTATCTCATGTGGAGTTGCTAAAGGAGTTGAGGAACGAACCCTCTGACTGGAGGAACTACTTAAGAATGACTGAGGATACCTACAACGATTTATTGAACATGGTTTCTCCACATATAAAAAAACGCCATAATTAGAAAGGCAGTTCTCCCCATGAAAGACTCAGTGCAACTTTACGATTCCTTGCAACTGGTAGAAGTTACAAAGACTTGGAATTCACAACACTCATTTCTAAAACATCCCTCTGCAAAATAATACCTAAAACATGCAAGTTGATGACAATTGCCCTGTCTGCAGACGGGTGAATTTCTTTATATTTGTTGATTAATTATACATTGGCCTCAACTCTATTAAAAAGTCACGAGAGGCTTGACTTATGTCTGACATAGTGACAAATGTGACACAAAACAGTAAAAATAAACTACACTACTCTACACAGTCCAAATATACCACAGTGGTTAAAACAACAGTACTACACAGTACAATTACACAACAGTTAACTGGACCAACGCGACATCGGAGGGTCTACAGGGTGCAACGATGACTGAGTCACCGTTTACACGCAACGACTTGTCGCTATCTATAGAAAATCGCTACGATCTAAAGAAATTGGTGGAAATTACCACCAACCTTCCAACCTCACTTCAACTCAGACAAAACGTAACGACTACCAGTTTACACGTTCCGTCTTGCATGAACGTTTTGTCGTTGCAGACAAATCGTTACGTTTTATCGTAGCGTGTAAACCCGGCTATAGTCTACCTAGCAGCCGCCATGGGAACTATGCAAAATTCAAATATTTCCAGACAAAAGTTTTTTAATTACACCATTTAAAAGTTGGCCCATATTTATAAACAACCGAATGTAAACATTGATGGCGACTGCTTAACCTCAAATTACATGATCTAATTTTGTAACGATTAGATGGTTATTTCCATCTAAAAAAATTGTTGTTCATCACAAGGAGCGAAACTTTATTATTTTAAATAGCACTTCCCTCAAAATATTTTTCTAGAAGGGAGTTTACTTGTGTTCAAACTTCTTTGATTTCTTAAGAGTCTTCCTTAGTGGAAGCCATGTTGGATTTCTTCCCCATAAGAACAATGTTAAACATTACATCATTTGTGGACACGTAACGGCGTTATTTGTTAAGATATAGCTTTGAAATTTATAATTTGTATTTTTGACATAATAGACTCGTGACTGAGGTTTTTGAATTTCGAAAATCCATTTTCATTTCCTTTCAATAATTAGCTTAATTTTAAGCTAATTAATAATCAATTATTCATTATAAAAATTAAAAATTGTGAAATAAAAAACGTCAATCTCTAGAGGACCGCAATTCCTTAAATTTAACTCCTTATCCATAATTATATGACAATAATTTGCTGATGAGATATTTGGACCCAAAGTTAACATTGTTCTTATGGGGAAGAAATCCAACATGGCTTCCACTAAGGAAGACTCTTAAGATCATATGGTGTTATTATATTTTTGGTGTAAAGCTGCACTACTGTAGTATTATGCTTTCTAGAGTGTCTATTATGTTTATTACAAATAATGTGTAATACTAAAAACACTTTACTTAAATAAAAAATAAATTTTAATCAGCAAAAATGTAACAATATTATAACAATCAGAGTGGTCCTCTTAGTTTATGCCAGGCCGTCACCAACGGTTCCCTCTTTTTCCAAATGTATTCATATCCAAATATGTGCCAAAACCTGAAAAAACACAAAATAAAGATGATTAATATTCAATGTGTCGGGTCCAAACTAAATTAACAAAACAATTGGATTGTAATGAATCGCTAGGAACTTACAAATGGAACTTTGTACCTCTAAATGCTACCAGACAGTATACAAATAAATACTGAGAATGGTTACTACTAAACAAAATAATATCAAAGCATTCAAAGTCAATTAACATATTGAAGATAGACAAACAATAAAGTAATTCTGAACTAAGAATTTCCAACCAGTGGCAGAACAAAATAATGTAATAAAATCATGCAGTGTTCTCAGGTACAAATAACTTGGTGTAATATTCTAATATAGTTAATTTATTTTTTATTGTTTGAGAAATCTGACAAACACGTCATTTTTAACATAGTTATAAATTTTGTTATCTCGACTCACTTATCTTTAGATATGGTTTTTAACAGCCAAAACACCTTTTTATGCAAAATAAAGGTTCTCTGATCATTAGGTTTCAAATGATATTAGGGTTGAATTATGGCTGGTAAGTTACGGACAAAACATTAGAGAAAAATTAGCCAATTTACTTACACTCCGAAAAGTGAACCTCCAAGATGGGCTGCATGATCTAGATACGACCATCTTGCTATGCAGCCCACAGTGTCCATACACATGATAGCTTTCAGACCCTGGAGAACAACATTTATATGAGAAATACAGCTGAACAAGCTTAAATCTAAAATATTTAATACTCTTAGTGCTAAGACACTCTACCAAATGACACAGTAAAAAATACTAGGCTGCGATAGGCGATCTGAACCAATATTGCAACTATTGCAAGTTCTAGGGGAAATAGTCACAACTTCAATTTATTTGCTGGATCTTTTTTTATTTGAGCAAATTTCCCATATAGGAAAATAAGCTATTACTGTAGTTCTGATGACAAAAATAAGAAGAAATAAAGTTTTTAAGAGGTAAATATGAATTTAAGCTATAATGTATTTTTTGTCATACTGCAGCAAAAACAGGCATTTTTAATACATGTGTTGCAGGTCTAAAGTAGCGTTTTCCTCCCTAGGGAATAGCTTATTGTTGCTTTTTGTCAATAGTTCCACATATCGATGGTATAATGTACAGTAACAAAATCGTAATGGACAAAATAATTGAAAATAAGCTGTAAGTCGTTTTTGAGGTTATCTCTCCATGAAAAGTACTTTTTTCTAGTTTAGTTTGTTAATATTTAATGCAATATGATGGTAAGTATATTTCATCACACGAAAAAAAAGTTTCCTCACAATCCTCAGCTTCCTCTCAAACATAAAACTTGACCTAGAGTCGAAAAGAGTCACTTTACGCACTAGTGATGAAATATACTTAAGGTGTTATTAATTAAACATGAAAAGGAAAACAAGAAAACCAACAGTTTGGTTGAATGATTGAATAAAATGAGAAGTAATTATAAATCTTACCGTACTGGCTTCAAATGGATATTGGGGTAGAAATATAACCGCTAATTTAGAGTTGGGATGTCTAGAGCAAACATACGCCAAGACTCCCATCACAGCACCTGACTGAAGCAAACATGCAGACACTTATTATATTTTTATTTCTCTAGGTTCTAGCCCAAAACGGTTTTCCACTTCAGGCTAGGTATAAAGGGAGTCACAGAATCATCAACGAGATAAATGCAATTGATGATTGCGGGGATTTGAACCTGGGACCTCGGGGACCAAAGTCCAGCTCTACCACTTTACCAACTCGCTCCCCTAACATGTAGACACTGTACACTTAGTGCATCTGTATTTTCAATAGCACACAATAATTGATTGAGTTATCATTATTTTTCTAATTACACACTACACAGTTTATAATATTGTTTAAAAGTTCTTGTACAAGTCTAAAAATATCCAAAAGTAATTTGTATTTGATAAACTTGTTTTCCAAAACTCAACATCTGGGAGATATGAACATTGATCTAAATTTAGCTCATGTTAATACAATACTTATATTAAAATTATAACTACATAACTATTTGTAAAAAAATTATAAAAAAGTAAAAGGTGAGGAATGTCTAGTGAGTCCTGATGTCTTTAGGATGGACAAGTGTCGCAAAGTAATTTGCTTTTTACATGATTGACTGAAGTTTTGTACAGGACAGTGAGCGACGAATATAGTACCTATAGTTGGTATATTTATCTATATTGGTGATATGGTGATACTCACAGCTCCTAGTGAGGTAACAGGACTTCGCAGCGCAGCTCTGTACAGGTAACTAGTGAATGAGGATACCATCCCTGCAGACAGGTAGAAAGCCACAAACTGTTCCTTACCTAGAGAACTGACAGCTCCTGCAATGACGAATAACCTCCATTAAGCTTGAAAACCTACTATAACCTTTAATATTTTAGGTGAAAAGTGATTCAGTAATTTAAACAAGTAGCAGATACAAGGTCTTGGGAGTATTTCAAATGATCCAAAATCGTTTGATCCAACGTTTATATTGGAGATAGGTTGATCCAAAGATCGATAGATCCAAAAGTATTTATGAAATAGAATGTCTGTTTCACTTTGGATCAAAATATCAAGGACCCGTAGCAGTAAAATGAACAGTTTTTGACCGATATTTGCAATCGGAAAAACTAGGTTTTTCTGTTGAGAAAGCCAGACAAATGCTTGAATTATTTACTTAGAACTCCCAGGTCCAACATGTAGATGAACCAGTTTGAGGTGTTGTTATGCTGAGATCAGATATCAGAGTTTCTATATTATATCCATTTTTTAAATGTGTGTTCGCTTCTCATTTGATCCGGATTGTTGGAGTTATACAATAAAGCAAGTGGGGGGTTATGACCTCAGCGGCCAAGGCACATGTAAACTTGGGCCCCCATGGGCGTCATTTCGATCTTTTAACTGGGGTGGCAAGATCTACCAGGGGGTCTGAGGGGCTTCCCCAAGGAAATTTTAAGAAACTGGCTTTAAATTTGTTATTTTTTAAGCTTTTTCAAACTATTTTTACAACAATTTTATTTTTATTTTTCTGTCGGCGGCCCCCTGAGACTGCGCCCCTTGGCAGTTGCATATCGTGCCTAATGGGTAATCCGCCACTGAGTAAAGTAGTCCTATGAACACAACATGAAATCCATGTGATTAAAATTCTGGTGTAAAAACAAGAAAATAGTAAATAATACCCCTGCTGCAGCAAACCTGCTGACCAAGCGAATTTCTATTTGTCTGAAGTGATTTTCAATTAAATCTATTTAAATAGGATTAAGTTTAACGAGTACCTAGGTTCGCTGGCTGCTATAAGGAAACTATAATAAAGTGTGTTTTGTAGTAAAATATTAATAGGTTAAACGGCATTTGGGCACCGAGCGCACACATCAGAAGGCAGGTGAAGCAATTTAGATAAGACAACTAGACCCTATTTCATGTACCAAAATGTATATTTTATGAAATAAAGAATATGGTGATGATGATGGCTTAAGCCTTTAACCATTTTATAAATATCGTAACTCAGTTCTCACTCTACTCAGTTGTGAAGCTGTTGCTACTAGCACTTGAATAAAATATAATAAAACTTAAAATTAACTTACCTTCGGAAAAACTGTGAAGGACGAACATGTTTGTACCGAGGTGAAAAATATTGTAATGACTGAATGTTGAGAGCAGCATAGGCCAGCACACAGCTCCTACAATCATACAGACATATTAAATTGGTTTTACATTAGGCCTACCTTTTATCAGTAGGCCTACCTTTTATCAGTAGGCCTATTCTCTTTCCATTCAGGAAAGCCTACTATCCTAACAAGTCCCTTGTGCTCTATGTTACGTCTTTAACCTCAAAGTGATATTATATAGTGTTACTGACAATAGAGTATAGCAACTGAAAATACAGTACATGTTGACTGACCTTTTGCAAGGCCTGACGTGAAGTAAAGCATCATGACAGGCTGCCAAGCAGGAACCCTCCACGCCAGGTATACCAACACATTTAGGAAACAGATCGGGGCAAAAACCTTGTCTCCTGCACTCAGACTGTTCCACCACATGTGCATATGCTGGCGAAACTGACCCTAGAAAATATAATAAATGTGAATACAGTAGAACCCCGGTTAACCAAATTTGGGTTAACCGAAACCCGGGTTAACCGTAACGGTTCCATAAAATAATACAGGGCCAAAATATTAGTAATATGTAAAGCAAAATGCTTCAGTAACATCAGTTGTTTAATTTAAAGTATTATCTAACCCATTAAAAAAAACTGCAGCTGAAATAAAACACTGTAGTATTATAAAAATTGTTTTAAATTAATTTTTGCTACACACCAAGGTAATAAATAGGCTATTTTTAGCAAATATGACGGGTTAACCAAAAAATTGGTTATCCGAAACGGCTCTCCCCCCTTTATTTAGGTTAACTGGGGTTCTACTGTATATATAAAAATAATACCTTCAAGCAACATCTTGGATTTTGATTTTAGTAAGACAACAATATAGCTTTTTAGAGTTAAAATTTCCAACTGAGAATCCACTGTTGGACAAACATTTCACTTCATTAGTTGCAGTTTGAATTTTGAATCCCACCAGTTTTTTTTACTTAAAAAATACTTTACATAAAACAATTTTATTACTACCAGTTGACACATCTTACAAATGCAAGGGCGATTGCAACGCACATTTTCAACTTGAATATTGCAACAATAGGTAGCACCAAGACACTTCCTCTGTGACAGCTGGACAGTCACTGAGGAGGGGACACACGTCTGTATCTGAAAGTATGGTAGGCGCGTGCCTAGAAGCGTTAGTTAGAAACCTTCAAACTTACTTTCTGATTATCCTTTGTAACATAAGCCTTCTTTCACACCAGCGCGGGGAAGGTATGGGGGTTTAGTGAGTGGGAGAAAATTTCGCGCCGTTCCGGCCAAACCTCGCATGCGGGGTTGGTTCGGCAGATTGGCCACAACCTAAACCCCAACTCTCACTTGTTAGCTGCGGAGAGCTACCTTCTGCCACTGGGTGTTGGTCCACCTACAGAACCAAGTGAGGGGGGCCCCAGACTAAGGTGTAATGCGATCCGTACCAAGAGTCTTGTGGCACTGGGGGCCTAATATTCAGTGTCTTAACGGAGCCTTCTGGGAACCAGGGGTAACCCAGTCGTACGCACCCCTTACCTCTCTAATCGGGTCACTGGGGAGGTGGACTTAAATACCCGGTATTCGTGAGAACAATGTAGACAATCTGACCCAAATGGAGGAGGAAGGTCTACTGAAATCTGACGATGACGACAAGCTCGCAGAAACCGGAAAGGAACGAAAAACGACTTTCCAGGGGCGAGTTGCAAAGATGGAGGATAGCGGATGCTTAAGCCAAAGGCGAAAAGGTGCTATCCAGAAGTGAGAGGAGGCTGGTGTGGGCTGCCAAGCACCCTAACTCTGCTGCCTGCAAAGCCAGTTCCTCCGGGAACTAGGATGCTGGGAAAAAGCAGAGCAAGGGTGGTACCCCCAAAGCTGACTCTAATGAAGCCTCCAGGAAGAAAGGTGGAGGCTGTGCTGACGCAGCCACAAAGGATTGGCTGGTCAAGCAAGTTCAGGAGCTGAGTCCTTTCAGGGAAATCTCGCTACCGCTTGCCCCAGCCAGAGACCTTGTGAAAGCTGTGAAGGTATATTTATGTGCCCAGCCCTACAAGGTCTGCGTATGAGATCCCTCGTACGAAAAACGACTTTCCAGGGGTGAGTTGTAAAGACGGAGGATAGCTGATGCTTTAGCCAAAGGCGAAAAGGTGCTATCCAGAAGTGAGAGGAGGCTGGTGTGGGCTGCCAAGCACCCTAACTCTGCTGCCTGCAAAGCCAGTTCCTCCGGGAACTAGGATGCTGGGAAAAAGCAGGGCAAGGGTGGTACCCCCAAAGCTGACTCTAATGAAGCCTCCAGGAAGAAAGGTGGAGGCTGTGCTGACGCAGCCACAAAGGATTGGCTGGTCAAGCAAGTTCAGGAGCTGAGTCCTTTCAGGGAAATCTCGCTACGGCGAAAGCTGTGAAGGTATATTTATGTGCCCAACCCTACAAGGTCTGCGTATGAGATCCCTTGGCCTATTGATGGGAGATCAAAGGGAAGAACAGGTCACCATAGTCAAAAGGCTCTCACGGTTCACCAAGGACCTGGGATTTGATGGAGAATGAGGATCTGTGAACGAGGGTGCACAATAAGCTGTTCTAGCTGCGATGCAATCCCATGGTAACTTGTAAGCCTGGCCCTCTGTTAAAAAAAAAAAAAAAAAAAAAAAAAAAAAAACACCAGCACGGTGCGGCACCGTCCCACACCGTCGATGCGGGGCGACCCGCAAGGCCCTTTCACACTAGCTGCCCGGATTTGGGCGTTTCCAGGCTGAAACTTTGTGATTTTTGGATGCATTTCATTCAAATAAATAAAAGTAAGGTGGTTATGCTACTTGTTGTATCCGAAAATAAAATACAGTGCCCCCTTGCTAAATAACCTAATTGGATCGATGCCTTGTGTGTAAAAATGTCAATTTCTTGTCTTTTTAAAAGTTATGGTGACAGCTTTGGGATGAATCTCGCACTTCAAACATGGTCTCAAATATGTACCATGACTCACTGATATATAGTTGATATTTTTATGCACATATTTGTAGGTGGTTTTAGCTTAAACAACAATTCATTTCCTTCCATATATTTAGAAGAACGTGTAAGTGCTCGTTAAACCAAATGTTTTTATATTAAATAAATCAGGCATGTTTAATAAAATCGTTTGTAAAAATTTAAACATGCAAATGAAAGATGGTTTGCTGCAGTGGGGGTCTCGTCCTACACGCTGACCTTCAAACTAAACCAAAATATAAAGCTTGACCAAACTAATAAGCTCTATATAAATTTCAACCTCAATACCAAGAACAACAAACTTGCCTATTAACAAGAGTAGGTACAACAAAATCAACCACACTCAACCACTGATAGGCATAGACTGTCAAAACTACTGATTCATGTGCGGACAAAACCAGCCCGTCCCGCGCAAGCGTGAAAGCGTACATAAGAACCCATAATCTAAAAACTATTCATGCGGTTTCGACCCGCATTGGAAGTTTAGGTTCGTGCGGGTGATTTTTCAACACGGACAGAGGTTTAGGTCTGTCCGGGTCAACCCGCACTGGTGTGAAAGCTCCCATATGATTCGATAGTCTAAACAGCTTCGTCCGGTGCGGGACCTTCCCGCACCGCGCTGGTGTGAAAGAAGGCTAACAATTTAATGCCAAACCCTCTTGGCTGACCAATAGCTCCTGCCCTGAGTAATATTGCACTATCTTAGTTGACACAATCATGCAAATTGAAAAAAAAAATCTATGGTTTGATGGTTGAAGGTATATTAAATACAGAATAAATTTGATTTCAGGACCGTTCAATTCAACAGATGTATCTTGAAACCCTATTTTCATAATTATTATTACACAATAAATATTTTTACAGAAGCCATAACTATTACCCGATGGTGTGACAACATGACTGAATTTGACCTGGTCCGGCCTAATTCCACATGGACAGACATGCGAACAATTTCAGGGGTGAGACAATAGGACTACGAGAAATCTCCCTCACCGTGTCGTTTTTTCCCCGTTCTCCCGCGGCCAGATACATACAGGCAAGAGAACTGATCACCTAATGGAGTCGTTCACTAGGTCGCTGGGAACGGATCGCCTCATGGTCGTTCATAGAATTGCTGCATCGTGTTTTCAAACATAGAGATCAAACATAACTGTGCGGCATAATTTTTCAGATCAAGAAAGAAATGTCCTATCCTAACCTTTAGGTTTAGACAATAGAATTATTTACTATAAAATTGTTATTATATAAAATGGCAATTATACCGGTTAAAATTATTTTAATAAAAGCAAGTGCTGACAAATCTACACGGAGTAAATATTTCCGTGAACGATTCCATGAGCCGATCCATTCACTATCCCACTAGTTCACTATGTGTCAGGGGGTAGGGTGATGTGAATTAGGCAGGGAGAACGGGGAGATTCCATTCAGTCCTAATGCCGCACCCTGAAAAATGCCGCATGACTACCCCAGGGGGCGGCTCAGGCTGGCCCAGGTCAGATTCAGTCCTGTTGTCGCTTTACCCTATCACCCACTAATCTATTATTTGCTAGAGGGCGACACATTTTAAAACATTTTTCTTAGTATATTAAAAAACATTTTATGAACAGTATTAGTTATATACAGGCCTGATTCTCTAGAGTCTAAATAATGTATTTTAACTTACATACTTTGGAGTAACCCAACTTTCCCATATCTTTCGCGTTTGGAGATTTTTTGACCGAGCAGTTTCATATTGCCAGATCGCAGCTCCAGTGATACTCACACCACCAACCTAATAACAACAATTCATAGAAAAAAATACTCATAGAGTAAAGTCTTAGCCGAAAGCCAAACAATAAACTTATTCTATGCATAAGGCTCTAGTCCTGCCTTAATTTTATTGAAAAAAGATCAATCATTACTAATTTAATTTCAATTGAGTTTAAAACTCAACCTAAAAACCCAAAGGTTTAGTATGTTTTAAAAGTCTCTTGAGGTAATATAAACATAACTACGGTAATTGAACTCACACCAATAGTGAAAAGGAAAGGCTTCCACAAACGAGAAAATGAATATTCGTCTTGAAATGTATTCTCTGCTCGTCTCCCAAATGATCCTCTTGAGAAGTTCCATTTTGAAGTTTTCAATGAATTCCTTAAATTGAATGGCAACTGCAAGGCTGTTTGCTGGAGCTTACTTGCTTGATAAGGGTAACGACAGCATCTGAGAAAATAAAACAATAGACAATTTGATGAGTTTGTACTCGTAGTTAAATCTAACTGGTCTACAATACATATTCTATTGCTGAAGATATTTAGTTGAATAGGCCTATGAAATTTAAATCACAAATTTGTATAGCTTATTCCTGTTAGCCAAGTGGAATTTAACTTAGTCCTATGTTTACTTTTTTATAGGCAGGTTGTATTTTTTTTTCTTACACATGATCAAATTTTTAAATTTTTAATTTTACATTAAATTTTTTTATTTTTTTTTATTTTTTTTAATTTTATTTTCTCAGCGCTCACTAAGAGAACCTTTCTTGAGAACTGTGAACATATTTCTTTTCTGCTAGGGAAATAAAATAAAATCCTTTATTGCCGTAAGTGCCACACATTAAAAATAAAGTTCACAGTAGGTACAAAGTCAATGGGGTTACAATCAGGTCCGGCAGACATGGCTGTTGCTGGGGGCCTCAAAATTTTTTCTTGATAAAATTATATATCATTGATAACCTATTTTACCGCGACCGCGGGAGATGTTGATGAAATCTGCACGACCGCAAAAGATCTACACTATTTTGTTATTAACGTAGGAGTTGTCATTATTCATGCGCGATCGCAAAAGATTTTATCGCGACAGCGGGAGTCAAAGATTATGTCTCTACAATTGCACAAGATGTTCACTGTTTTCCACATCTAGCCTACATGAGACATTCATGATTTTGCCACGATCGCAGAAGACGAAGATTATGTCTCCACGATCGCGTATGATGCTCACTATTTTGCTGCGAATGTAAAAGATGTTCATAACCCCTCCACAACAACAATAGATGTTGAAGATTATACTGTGACCGGAGAAGACACCTACAATTTGGCAGTGATTACAGATCTTGTATAGACTGATTATAGTACATCAATAAATATATTTTAAATTAATCATTTCCAAAACTACCCAATTTTGATCCCATGCCCGAAGGTCAACATTTTTGACTCGACAAGAAATAAATTTTAAACATATTTGGTCCCGAACTTAGCCCCCTAATATTATTATTCAAAAAATTAATTAAACCTATTTATTAACTAGTTTTCTAAGTATTTTTTCCGATCAGATTGATGGATTTAAAAGGTCACTTCATCAGTTGAAGCAATACCAAATGTATTTATAAACCCTAAAGTTCCTATTTCTAAAGTTTCAACCTTCGAAGAATCAGAATATTAGCCTCTCTGGTGAGAGCCGCCAGGGGCCTCATAGATTCTAAATACGGCCCTGGTTACAATAGCTAAATAGGACTACACCACCATCAGAGTTATGGTAGGGTTACCATCAGAGGCTACACATTAGTCCGGAGTTATTGAGCTAATTTAGATTAAATCTTGGATTATTGGCTTTAGCTGCTGATATAGAGAACAGTATTAAATCAATATGTGATGTGAAAAGCGAATTGAGACCTCTTGCCGGGAATTTTCGATTATTTGAATTCCTTATTAAATTCCGAATCACTTGGTGCAAGTCCCATGCATCTGAGATTTTTTTGTTCAAGTTATAGGACTTAGAAATTTTGTTATGGAAAAGGGTCATTTTAAGAAAAACTATTTTGAAAATTTCAAATACTCATAAAAACAGTTTTTTCGTATTTAAGAAACGATTTTGGTACCTATACAAAAAAACTTATAACGGCCTCTTTGGAGGCAATACCAATTTTTGTCATAACTCACGGTAGTTTTAATTTAAATAATTGTTTTATCGAAGCATGTCGTAAAAATCGCATTTCAGAAAAGGGACCTCTTGTCGGCCATATGTTATTTCTCAATAAGATAAGAAAAGGTACCTTTTGTCGGGACCGCAAAATCTGTGAGATATTCTTTTCTCCGTAAACTAAACTTTGTTGACTTTGTTGTAGTACTCGAAACTTCCACTAGGATGCAGGACAATTCATTATTTGCACTAAATTCTGTTTATAAAGTGAATATTAGGAATGGGACCTCTTGTTGTTATGGCGAAATAACATTGAGCAACAAGAGTTACCTTTTCTTAAGACCGTTCAGAGGCTAACAAAATGATTTATTTTGATCTTTTACATCTTCAATTGGATATTTTAACCGATACTGTCCTGTTCTATGTTAAATGAGGTACAAAAATCTATAAAACACTGAATTTCAACATTTTCGACCTTAATTACTTATATCGGCCATACTGAAAATTTTGCTTCGATGACAAGAGGTCCCTTTTTGCTTTCCAGATCACATATACTGATTGGATGAGAAGGACTCTTTAGTTGCCGCAAACCGATTTCAAATATCTCTAATAGTTAAAAAGTTAAAGGGGGTGCAAGTTAATTTTCAGCCACCCTCATGGTTATTTGGATTTGAAACGTTTTAGGGCGCTATTTTGTTATTAGTGGGCCAATTTTGGCTTTATGACAATGTTTATGTTTCGTCAAGACCTGTAAAATGATACAAAATTCGACTATACTTGTCATTTGAAAATTTTGAGCTACCCCTTACCCCCACTACCCCTAAGGGCAAAATTTTCAAAATTGACCATAATTATTGTAGCCCCTCATATCTAAGAAGGTTGCCACAAAGAGATTTCAAATATCTCAAATGGTTGAAAAGTTAAGGGGGGTGCAAGTTACTTTTCAGCCACCCTGTATGTATATATGTATATTTTTGACTCAATTTTTTCATTATCAGCAAGTTTGGTTGGTTTGGTTAAGTTATGATAGTTTAATTTTATAATTAAAAGATTAAATATGTAAATATAAAAAAAACTTTATCAAAGTATTATAAACAATAAAAGGGACGGCAATGCCTTAATATTGTTATCTTTTGTTCTGTACCCACGCAATCTAACATAAATTATTAAGTGAATAATAATTGTGCTTGCTATCTCAGGTATTCAAATGCCTCTCAATTCGTCATTAACCCACCACATTACTGTCATTAAAAGAAGGAACTCTTATAATACTAATGCAAAAAATTAAATCCACCGAAGCTGTGCAACATTACCAGACTGACAATTTAAAAAATTACATCAAAATTGATTGAAACGAAAATTATTAGTTATAAGTTTAGAGAAGAAATAGTCTTAATCCCAAGAATACTGATGATTTCATCCGAATTACCCTCTGAATTTAAGCAACTACCTACAATTTTCTTTGTGTCTTGATTTTGCAATCACCATTATAAAGCACTAGGGCAATCCCTGACTATCGTCTGTTTAAATTTAGAAAATTCATGCTTTTCACACGGACAGCTGTATGTTGCAAGCTCACGGTAGGTATGCCTAAAAACTTATACATAAGTTTTATATATTTATTCACCTAATGAAAAAAACTAAAAACATTGTTATGCACTGGCAACTAAGTAAAAATTTGCTATTTTTATTTTTGGTATACAGGTACACTTTTATTATTCATTGTAAAGAACAAATTACCATTTAAAATAACAGTTGTTAAGCGCAGCAACGCGCGCCGGGTAAATGCATATTGATAAAATTTGGCAAATTTATTTATTTCATCCTATACTATTGACGTATGGTCAAAAAACACTTTTTACCTTCCCCGTAGCAGCAAACCTAAGCACTAATTAAATCTAATGTTATTTAAATTGGGAATAAATATGTCTTTATTTATGGAAATATTTTAGTAAAAATTTAATCAGACAAGTAGAAATTCGCTTAGTTTGCAGGTTTGCTGCGGCGGGGGTATTTTTGTATGTAATAACAAAAATCAAGTGATACCGGTACTGAAATTAATTTCGATTGTACGATTTAGTTGTACATTTCCCATCATATATCAAACAAGTTTTCAATTGTAGAGTCGTTCGTTAAGGAGTACATTTTTTATTTTATTTTTGAATTCAGTTTCTGGCTGTGAATTTATATTTTTTGATAGTCTAATGAATTATAGAGCTTGGTTGACATATACAACCAGGTTTTCTGTGAAGCACTAACTTGTATTGTTGAACTCTTAAATTACATTTATTCCTTGTAAGTTATTAAACTTATAAGAATGAAATTCAGCATTAATAACTTACTAAATAAGTCTAAATTTGAGTGGACAAAACATAGAGAGTTGATTACATAAAAAGAGTGGAGCGTTAAGACACGTAAATTCACAAATAAAGATGAACAGTACAAGACTTTCTATAAGAGACATAGCCTAACCTAAAGTTTTGTTTATGTTGTCATGTTATAGGCTGCCTAATATTAGGGTTGCCATATCCCTGGATTTCCCTGGAGATTACCAGACTTTGACGTCCAAAATTTAGCTCCGGGGGATTTCTGCAAAAAGTGAGAAATCTCCTCTTTTTTACTCTCTATTAAAATAGGCCTACATTATAAAACGGCACTTTTGGAATAAAATAAATGTTTGCGTTTGCTAATATCATTATGCAATAACTGAGAATACTCATTGTTGTGGCTTGCCCCTGAACTGGTAAGACAAATATAAAATAATAGTGGTTTAGTTACCTTTACTTTCGTCCCAGTTCAATAAAAAGTTGTAATATCTACAACCATGGTTTCGACGCTAGTTGCGTCATGGTCACGTCGTTAGCAAGTCGAGAAGTATCTTGTCATAGCCGGTCGCTTGGACGTTGTCATATTTACACAAACACGGACACGGACATAAACACACACGTACATTGATTAAAATAAAAGGTTCTCGTGGACAGAACACAGGCCTGTGGTGAACAGTTAATTTGTACCGTCGCGGGAGCCGGCAGGAGAACACTGAGGGCGACGGCGTCTGTGATTACATGACCCTTGCACCTTCTTTGGACATGGACTCGTCCTGTGGGGGTTGTCTGTTGAAGATAGACTTGCCTGACGAACTTGAGATGTTTGGATGATTTTATTAAAGATTAATCTTTAATGATTAATCTTTAATAAGTCTATCTTCAACAGACAACAGGTTGTAGATATTACAACTTTTTATTGAACTGGGACGAAAGTAAAGGTAACTAAACCACTATTATTTTATAATAACTGAGAAATGCAACTCTTGTACCTTGATTACCTTCTTCTTAGCCTGAGACCAGTAACACATTGGATAAGCTGTGTCCAAAATAATTTGTATATACATATTTACAAAAGCTATTTACAAAACTTCCAAGATGGAGTTATACGGGTCACACAGATGGCGTGGACAATGGTCTAGTGTTATCAAAGTTTACTTCGAAAAACTCTTTCAAACCATAGTAGGGCTGTTCTCTCATGAGGCTCTTAAGATTTGCGGCAAACTTGTTACCCTCAAGCTGCTTGATTCCGTCAGGGAGATTATTGCAGAGCTTTAGGGCCATAACTGGGAAAGCATCCGTGGTTTTGCTTAGCCTGCAGAAAGGAATGTCAATTTTGCCTTTGTACCTAGTATTGTGGCTGTGCACATCATTCCTTTTGTTGAATTTCCCCAGGTTATCATGGACATATTTTGCAGATGAGAGGATGTAACTATTGTAGACAGTCAGTATGCCCGTCCTTATAAAAAGCGGCATAGTGTTCGTGCCTCCTACTACCAGTAATGACTCGCAAAGCCTTCTTTTGCTGCCGTAGGATTTTAAGACAGTCAGGTGCATGGCCCCATAGCTGTAGACCATACGAGACGTGGGGACTAGTTTGGTGAGTTTCCGGAGCAGATAGGTGACCCTCGCTAACCTCTTGCATATGTTATCAATGTGGTCTCCCCAAGTTAACTTAGAATCAAGAGTAAATCCAAGCAGTGACACATTTCTCGAAACCTGCTCAAGCGATGGTGACAGAGAGCAGATCAGTTTCTGTGTCTTATTTTCATTAAGTTTTAGCCTATTCTGACTGAACCACTCTCTAGCCGTCGCAAACAAGAGTTTGGAATCTTAAACTACTGCTACCTTAGGGTTTCTTCCAGTTGTAATGAGAGTCGTATTATCGGCAAATCTTAAAGCCCTTCCTTCCAACTCTAGGTCGTTTATGGCCACTAGGAATAAAACCGGCCCCAATACAAAGCCTTGGGGCACGCCATGCTCAACTTTGAGTGCCTCGGACATTGCACCCCCAAGGGAGATAATTTGATGACGCTCGTCCAGGTACGAAGCAAGTGGCGAGAGGGCCTTGTCTCCAAAACCATAACCCTTCAGCTTATCTAAGAGGATCTGATGAGATACAACATCAAAAGCCTTTGACTTAAATCGCACAGAGTCAAGGCCACGGACTCAGTAGCTTCAAAAGCGTCTTGTATTACCTCTGTTAAGTCTGAAACTGCAGTAACCGTAGACCTACCCTGCCTAAAGCCATGTTGCAGGTCTGAAAGCAAGTTGTTCTGTTCAAGATAATCTACTACCTGCCGCTTCATAGCAGTTTCAATAACTTTAGCTAACATCGGTATAATGGATATAGGACGGTAACTGGACATACTGGAAGCATCGCCTTTCTTAAAAATAGGAACAGTACGTGAGACTTTCATGCTCGTTGGAAAAATTCCAGCATTCAGGCACATGTTTATGACTCTGCAAAGTGGAAAGGCAATACTGCTGATTATGGATTTAAGAATAGTTGAATTCATTCCGTAAATATCTGGGCTGGGGTTTTAGCTTATGGACAATTGCCAAGAGTTATGCCACACAGGAAAATCAGAATGGTGACTTACCGCATTGCACGTGATCCGCATTAGTACAGCCTTATGGTCAGCGACGAAGGCCTCAGTTACCCAGACCTTGTAGAGCCACGCATCCAGGTTGGTAGCTACAGTGTCCAAACAGTTGTCGCCTCTAGTCGGGAGTAGATTTGTCAGAAAGAGTCCATAGTTCCGCAAGACATTGGAGAAGTCACCAGTGATAGGCCTATTGAGGTTCAGGGCAATGTTGAAGTCTCCTCCAACAATAACCTTCTTATTTAAACTGGTAATGAGGTTCAGACATTGGTCAAATAAGTCGAGGAAGGTATCCATATGACCATCAGGTGGCCGGTATATAGGCCTACTAAGAATAATGGCAGAGAAGTAAATTAATTCAATAGCCACAACCTCAAAAATCGTCTCTTCAAAAAAACGTGATAGATCTATTGCGTTAAAATTGATATTAGAATTGATATAAATTGCAGCCCCTCCATTTCTATGGTAGCTGCGACAGAAAGAAGAAGCTAAAACTAGTCCACCAACTGTATTGTACTATTCAGTTTCATAGGTCTCCAGCCAATGCTCACTAACGCACAGTACATTGATATTATGTTCTTCACAATAAAAGTGATGTTACTACTCATACTCTCTAGGCTACTAACGTTTTTTTATTCCCTTGTTTCACTTTGGCCAGTAACGTCTTAAGTTTATCTACCTATATCGTCTGTTTCATTGCTCCCAGTCCTTCAATTTGGGTCTGCCGGCCAGTCCGAAGGTATCCGTAATCCGTATAGGCTAGGTATACATAGGCCTAGTCAATGTCCGTATTCACTACCAAAGCCTAGCAGACAGAGAGTGTTTTGTTGCCTTTACTCGGTTTATTCGTTATTTTTAGTGAGATGTGACTAGCGATGCAAAATTTTATATTTTTGTATGTATACCGTTTTAATATTGACATTGTGTAGCACAAAAAATATTGAACAGAAACGGTATAAACTAATAAATATAAACAAATTACGTCACTGGACCAAATGTCATTAGGCTAATAGCGGAAACAACTGTCTTTTGACAGTTCCATTTAAATAATAACAAAAACATGTTTACTTATGCCAGTGACATAATTTGGTTTAAGTTTATGACCAATAGTTTCTGTCATAAATTTTTGCTACTAGGTACGTTATACAATTTTGCTGGCTCGATACATTTTATCCACTATTATAGTGGGGGCCGCCAGCTAAAATCCCCTCTTTTTGTACAAAACCATATGGCAACCCTACCTAATAAAAGGTATTACGTAGGTCCTAGCCTACAGAAAACTGTAATTATACATTGAAACTACACAGGCCCCTACACCAAAGAAAAGTTGAAAATAGCATAACATACTACAATTTATAAAATAGAGGAAGATAAAATTTTTAAAAACCTTAAGCCTAATTACTTACAGATTCCAAGATCCATCTTTGGCAAAATTTAATGTCCTTAGAACACAAAAGGACATTGTAAGTAAATGTTGGGATTAAAGCTCTAAATAAAACTTAAATTACTCTTTACTTTCTGTTAGGTCCGGGGCCCGGGGCGTAATAAACAATTCTCCAGTCAAGTTAATTACAGTATTAAAACGATACTTGTGTGATAAGACCCCTTCAATTTTAAATTTTTGGTTCTGTTTCTGTTTCTGTTTTTGTTGTGCTGTTGAGTGTTGACTATTATAGGTTAGGTTATATTTTTTCTTGGTATAGTGTAACAAGAACATGATTGTTGTGGTCACATGTAGCTCTGAAAACAAATCGTTTTCTCAGCCCAATGACATTTCATTAAAGTAACAATTCCACACAGATGTTAAGTCTAGTCAATCCCAATAAAAAAAACATTATTATAAAAGATATGGCGGGGATAAAAACCGCCCTTCTCACAATTAACAAACCAAAGATGGGTAACCTAGGCTGATCTGATATCCCAATGATAATCAATAGGTGATACAGTAGAGTCATGGCCGCCTTTAAAGGCGGCCATGGTAGAGTCCCTAAGTCCGAAATGGTTGGGACCGGACCCATTTCGGATTACCGAATATTTCGGATTAAACTTTTTTTCGTTTTTAATTATTTGAAAATTAAAAAAAATAGTGATAAACACCCCACTATTGTCAATCAGGAAAGGATAATGTTGATCTTGCTGGGTATTTACTCAGAAAAGGTAGAATAGCCTACGATGACAGCTGTGGGCTTCTTACTGAGGGAACGCAATTACCCTAACAATACGATCTGTCGCCATCGGCCTCGGTGGTCTAGTGGTTAGCGAGCCGGGCTGATAAGATGAAGGTTCCGGATTCGAATTCTGCTGGTAGCATTAACTTTTTGTCCAAGATTTTTTCATTATCAGCAAGTTTGGTTGGTTTGGTTCGGTTATGACAGTTTAATTTTATTATTAAGTCATTATAACATTTTAATTGAGCAATTTCTAGATTTATTTAATAAACAGAATTGTTTTTTCTATTACTAAACTTTTGTTACATGACTTCATTATCAGCAAGTTTGGTTAGTTCGGTTAGGTTATGATAGTTTAATTTTATAATTAGAAAATAATAAAATTGAATTTGAGGCATTTATAATTTTATTTTATGAACAGAACTATTTTTGCAATTAGTTCATTGCCAAAGTGCTCTCTCTACTACAGCGCTGTTCACGGAGGAATTTTGAACTAATGCCTCAATCGTACCTCCCCTAAGTCAGACCCGTCTTGCTGGATTAATTTCTAACATAAACCACAAAAAAAAAAAACTTTTTTGTATGTGTAAATTGACAACATGCCTTCATTAATAATTTATAGGCCTATAAGGGTTTTCAGTGTGGTTGCCCGTTGGTGTGTATAACAACCACGCACTGGAAGGGCAGAAGCTCAAAGATCGAATGCCGAGTAGAATTCAAACCGATTCGAGTAGAATTTAATTTATTATGTTAAATTAACAGAATGATTAGTAATAAAGTACTCTCAATTGAAAATATAGCCTATTTAAAAGTGATTTAGGAGCGGACATGCTAACCCCCACGGACACCTGCGGGGGAGGGAATGTTTAGCGCGTAACCGCGGCTCACCGACTCTTCGAGCTCGACTGACTCCTTGTATCGGCGGTCCTACACGTCACACAGAATGATGACACCTCATGTCAGCAGAACAATCAGGCCACGCATTCTATGCCACGATCCAAACAACTGAACGTGATGTAGCAATCTGATGTACTCAATACTTTGTGACACTCAACAAACCCCCAAATAAATTGCAAGACAATGCTGGCTAGCGGAGTTGTGACACGATTGCCAATATTGACGGCAAGAGCCAAAAATTATATCATGAACCAAAACAAGCAAAGCAACAACCCAAACATAGGCCTATAACAGAAAATATGCAAACCGTAACTGCCATGATAATTAACAAAACAAAAAATGGCAGAAGAATATGTGTAATGCTATACTCATTGATGCGTTCATTTACTCGGTAAGAGGATGACAGATTATTTATATATCTATATTTGAAACTGTTTTTCTTTGTCATAGCTATTTTGAGAGAACGGCTGGGTGTAGAAACTCGGTAGAGGTGTCTAAAGAAAGGTCTTGGTCTGTAGATGAGCCATCAAAAGAGAAACATGGTGAATTCCCTTGGGGCTCTGCCCCAGTGGCCTTTCAATTCCCATCCCATGTTATTCTTATGGAGGAAAACGGGGTTTTTGTCACAGTTAATTTGAGAGCACGGTTGGGTGTGGGAACTTGGGTCTCTAAAGAAAGGTCTTGGTCTGTAGATGAGCAATAAAAAGAGGAACGAGGTAAATTCCCTTGGGGCTCTGCCCCAGAAGCCTTTAAAGTTGCCTCTTCAGATTTGTTTACATTACGACCGTCGACCATATGCATAGTTCTACACTACTTTTTAATGAAACAGCTGTTAATATTTAAATTGTGATTTATTGAAATTGTCAAAATGAAGTACAGTATTTGCAATGGGTTTTTCTGATTTTAAATTGGATTTTCTTCTGCACCGTGTCATGTTTTGCAATGTAATGTTCTATTACCAAATCAGTGGAAAATCCTAATATCACAGTAACTCTTAAAATTATTTCTTTTGGAGTTAACTTATATCCAGTGTATGGGTTGGTTTCTGCCTTTTAGCGAATTTCCCTATAGGGAAGTAGCTTTTACCGTATGTGGCACGGTTAGACCTAGACCCGGGACCGATTTACTTTTTCATTTTGAGAGAGGCCAAAAACACCATTCGTTTTTTTATATATGTATATATATATATATTGTTTTGATATATATATATATATATATATATATACGTCCGTGAACGCGATAACTTGAGTAATTTTTGTCAGATTTTGATGAAATTTGGTTTAAAGGTGTAAAGTGGGATAAACTTGAATGAGTTCGCGAACCAGCATGATCGGACCATGGGAACGGGGCTTTATGGGGGGTTTTATGGGGTAAAAATTGGGTTTTCTCACTTTTGACCCTCAAAACACAAAATTTCCCAATTTCTCTTTAGACCTATTTAAAGAGCTTAAAAAAACAAAAAATTCAAAATAACAAATATAACAAAATAACAAATAATAAACAAAAACTTTCTTCAGGATTATATGTTTTTAGGCCAGTGTCGCTAATGTAACCTGGACATTCTAAAATAAAAATATTTTGTCTTATGGTCTGGCAATCTAGGGAGGATCAACTAAAAAGTTTAGATACAGTTCTGAAACTCTAAAAATGCTATAAGAATCATGCTATACTTAGACAAACGATAACTGTAAAAGATCAATTTTCAAAACTACACATTTTTACTGTCTGATCAATAAATATGTACTATAACTAGTGGCCTGTAGGAGCTATAGCCCCTAATCTAGACTACAATAAAAACCATATATAAAAAGACAAATATTAGAAATATGTTTTTATAATAATTATCAATTTTATGTTACTTAAAATTAACAGTGTTTCTTTTTTTATATCTTGGTTTTCCTTCCGTTGGAGTCGTATATTAGATGCTTTTGATGTGTCAATGAAATACAATTGTAAAATAATGATTAAATCAATAACACAACATATTAACAAATGGAAACGTGCACACGGTTTGGCCTGAGCCCGGAGAACGACGAATCAGAGCTGAAATCATACTGCCAAACATTGCACATCTTTTCTAGTTTAAAACTGAAGATTTGTTTTGTAATCTTACGAACCCTGTTACAGTTTCCATTTTGAGAACCAAATGTATGTAAAGGTTAAAATTATTATTAATTATTATGAAGGCAACTCCCCATTTCGCGGTAGTAAGTCAGAAATATATCTATGAATTTGTCCCTAAATTTTAAAACAAAATTTGGAAATTAGAAAAAAAATGTCCATTCATATGATACTAGTAATAAAATTTATATAAATTTATCAATCTTAGCTTCTATGAAAAAACTAAAAAAAGGAATTCTTCATGGGATCAAAATTTTTAAATCATTTTCCTACCAAATTAAAAAGTAAATTAAACCAAAATTATATCATAAATCTAGTGAATCAACTGCTAAAAAAAAGAAAAGAACTATTATTCATTTGAAGAGTTTTTTTTTTCAATTAATGTAACAAAAAAAATGTTGAGATGCTCTGCTGGAAAAAAATAAAAAATACCCCCGCCGCAGCAAACCTGCCGACTAAGCGAATTTCCATTTGTCTTAATTGATTTTCAATTAAATATATTTTAATAACATTAGGTTTAACCAGTACCTAGGTTTGCTGCTACAAGGAAACTAATAAAGTGTGTTTTTTTTGTAAAATATTGATAGCTTAGTACAAAAAAAAAATATTTGATCAAAATACAAAATATATCCATAAACAAGCAAACTACAACATTTGACAATATTCTCCATAAGAATAACATGGGAATTTTAAATTAACAATTTTTTTAATTTTCTCCATTACTATTAACCGAACAAAAATACTTTTATATACTAAATTAATTGTTTTTTTAAGCTCTTTAAAAAGGTCTCAAGAGAAATTGGGAAATTTTGTGTTTTGAGGGTCAAAAGTGAGAAAAACCAATTTTTACCCCATGAAACCCCCCGTAAAGCCCCGTTCCCATGGTCCGATCATGCTGGTTCGCGAACTCATTCAAGTTTATCCCGCTTTACACCTTTAAACCAAATTTCATCAAAATCGGACAAAAATTACTCAAGTTATCGCGTTCACGGACGTATATATATATATATATATATATATATATATAAGTCTATATATATATATATATATACATATATAAAAATTTGAACGAATGGTGTTTTTGGCCTCTGGGAACATCAAAATGAAAAAGTAAATCGGTCCCGGGTCTAGGTCTTACCGTGCCATCTACGGTAATAGCTACTTCCCTATAGGGAAATTCGCTAATAAAAACGACTCGATGACCCAAAGTGCCGCTCCAGAGATTCTTTTAAGATTTGTTCACTGCAACTACTCTACTGGCTGCAAGAATTTGCAATGCTCCTGCAACAAAGTATGGGTTACCTTGTACTACAGCTTGTGGACTTTACCAGCTTGGAGAACAATGTGACAGTTCGTAAATTGATCATAACAGTGTACAACTTGATGAAAATTATGATTTGTATAATGCTCTACTACTAACCACAAGAAAGTGCGACTATATTATACTAATATTATAAATGTGACAGTTTGTTTGTTTGAAGTTCAATCACGCATTAACTACTGGTCGGATTGGGTTGAAATGTGGCTTTATGATAGCTCAGATTCCCGATATTTATTTAAGTAAATAAAATATGTATGTTGAATTTTAGCAAGCTTGTGATCTTTATTTTAAGACCTATTATTGGATTTTTCAAGCAAAAAATAGTCATAAATTAAAATACCCCCGCCGCAGCAAACCTGCACCCTAAGCGAATTTCAATTTGCCTGATTGAATTTACACTAAAATATCACATTTATCCCTATTTAAATAGCAATACTTTAACTAGTACTTCGGTCTGCTGCGACAGGGAGGGTAAAAAGTGTTTTTAGTAAAATGTTAAATAGTTTAGTATAAAACAATTGCATTTTCCAAATTTGATAAAACTATTTTCATATACAGGCTAACTACAACAAGTTTTCTTATTCTCCGTAAGAATAACATAGGGATTTTAAATTTAATTTTTTTTTAATTTTCTCCGTAACTAGGTATTAGCACAGAAAACGTACTACTATACCCAATAGTACGGTTATAGTAGTACGTTTTCTGTGGTATTAGGCCCATGACAACGCTTCAATGTACTAAATTGTTTTTTTTCTGCCCCAAAATGGTTTCGAAATAAATTGCAAAATTTTACGTTTTTAGGGTCAAAAATGGGGAAAACCAATTTTTACCCCATAAAACCCCCCATAAACCCCTGTTCCCATGGTCCGATCATGCTGGTTCGCGAACTCGTTCAAATAAATGTAGGTTTACATGTTTGTACCAAATTTCATCGAATTTGTATCATTTTTGCTTGAGTTATTGTGATACAAGCCGAAACATGTAAACGACCTTCAATTAAAAATGAGCTGTTTGTCGGATTTTTATAAGGTATGTAACCTATTTATTATATTGGTGTTTTTGGCCTCTAGGGACACCAAAACGAAAAAAAATCGGTCCCGGGTCCAGGTCTTACCATGAGTACTACGGTAAGCTTATTCCCTATATGGGAAATTCGCTAAAATGATAGTCATTTTCTGCGGCTAAGCTCTGTTTTACGTAAAAACGTGAAAAACGCTTTTTTGCCCAAAATCCATGTTGTGGGAACTCAAATTGTGCGAAATTTCACGACAAATTTAACAGTATATTTCTCATTATGTTGGCCGTGCACCATCAAAGTTTTCTTCAACCGTAACAGATCACACATTCCATTTGATCACATCATTGCGTTAAGAATACTTACAAACATATTCGACCGGTCACCGGTCCGACTATGAAAAAATATTATGACCCTGTTACCCAGCGCCGTAACCACGGCCGCCTTCGCCTTGTCGTATAACCGGCCTACCATGTCGAATTTCACTGCATTACACGTACACAAACCCTCTAACTAGTGAAATTCAAGTATCCTTTTCCGTATACTCAATCAATATTGCCATACGTGTAATGCTGTCTAATATAAAGTTTGTATCAGGCCGGCGTGGCATCCAGAAGTAGGGGTCGGCAAACTACTAGTTACCCAGCGTGTCGTAACCGTCGACGACCTACCTTGTAAAATTTAACTACATTTTTACACGTACACCAACTCTCCAACTATTGAAATTCAAGTCATTTTGGACGTCGTGACACTGACTATTGAATGCGTATTTTGACGTCGTGCAATCATCGGTGCAAATGCATCCTTGAAAATCCTTTATTTTTGAAGGTTTAAAGCATTTTAAAGGATTTTTCGACACTGTTGTTGGCTAAGTAAGTTTTACACTAAACAGTTTATACTGTTTTTGCATAGACCATAGTGCATGCATTTTCTGCATGATTTGCTTTGTATTACTTTGTGCATGGTCATTTTTAACTATTTTGTACGTTTTTTTTATTGAATCTTACTTGGTTTGATTATTTAACACATGATATTTATTTTATGCTTGTACACTACTTTACATAGACTGTAATAATGTATTGTTGATCGGCCAAATAAAATCATTGTACCATTGTAATGTCGGTCAAAGAATTTAGAAGCATATGCTTTATAATCAATGGCATCGCAGTCATTATCTCCAATCGCCACTTCTTTCGTCACTGGCGGCAGACTAATAAACGAGACTGAACACTGACAGACACCTGACAGTCCTATTCGAACTCGAACAACTGCGGTACTGCTTAGACCAGACCGGCATTCGTGGGATTTTTCATTGTTCGTTCCGTTTTTCTACTACTGTCAGTTGGTGCGTGGGTGATACTTTCTCAAAATATAGTTTACTCGTGTACGCTGTAATATTCGTCTTGATACATTATCCTTCAGTATTGTCACTAAGAAAAATAGTTTAAAACTATTTGTTATTTATTTCACTTGTTCAACATGGCTAGCTCGGTTACAAAAGTTTGCAAAGCAATTTCACAGGCGGCATCAAAATCATCCTCAACTGGCACAGTACCTCTGTTTGTATCAAGCCAACGAAAATGTAAGTATGCATTATTTATGTTCTTATAAAATTGTAAATCAAAGAAAACATTAAGAGAGAGATATAAAAAAAAATTACCAAGCCAATTCAGCCTAGACTTACTCATGATCACTGTTTTACCTGAAAACAATGGTGCAAACATTTTCTGCTGTCACAAAAGCTGAATAAACTACGATCGTTTGAATTTATTTTAATGTTGTAGGCTATTAGAAACGTTCTGCACATCAATATTTACACTCTAACAACTAAGTTAATACACCAAGTCACATTTATTGATTGATTGTAGGCTCTATGCCATTTTAAAGCAATTACCCTCACAACCCGCACTTTTAAACAGATAAATATCCCCGCCGCAGCAAACCTTCCACTTAAGCTAATTTTAATTTGTTTGAATTGATTTTTATTAAAGTCTGTATTTAAATTGCGTAACATTGGCCGGGTTTAACAAGTTACTGGTACCTAGGTTTGGAGCTACAAGGATACCTATTTAACTTTTATTAAAGTTTAATTTTTAAGTTAGTAAAATATTAATTAATAGCTTATTATAAATAAATAAGCTTAAAATAACTGAAATAAATTTGCCAAGTTTGATCAAAATATGTCTATAAACAAGCAAACTAATAAACATTTTAGGCTACAATAGGCTCTCCATAAATATAGCATGGGAATTTTAAATTAACAATTTTTCGAATGTTCTCCGTTAATGTAGGCCTACTAATAAATAGCCTAAGTCATAAGTCATTTATTTGGCCAGATTTACATTAATGCATTGGCTAAGTAAATAAAAATATAGGCTAGGCCTAACTTAAGTTAAATTTAAGTTAACTTAACTTAACCGTACAAAAACACTTTAATATAACTTATAGGCTACTAAAGTATTTTAGAGAGCGATTCATGATGGACTGCTGAATAGGCCATTGCAACTTACGCCTTGCAAGAGTTGGACAATGAACCCCTTTTTGTAACGTGACACGTCCGCCATGAAAAGTTTATATAGATATTTTTTATGGTGTTTAGTAAATATGTAACTTAAATAGAAATAACTTAAAACATGACGCAATCTATCCGACATGTCGGTCAACGATGTAGACGACAAGTATCAAGTAAGTAAGTAGGAATTCTCTAGTTTTTTAAGCTTTTTAAAAAGGTTTACTTAGAGATAAATCGGGAAAATTTGTGTTTTGAGGGCCAAAAATGAGAAAACCCAATTTTTACCCCGTAAAACCCTGTTCCCATGGTCATGTCGGCTCGCAAACTCATTCAAGTTTATCCCGCCTCACACCTCCAAACTAAATTTCTTCTAAAAATCGAACTAAAATTATCCTCCACATGGTTACCTAAGTTAGATAAGTTAACAGATTTTAGCCTTTAATTTGATAGGTTAGGTCAAGTCAAGATTTACACAGACCCCTAAACAAAATAAACTTCACAGAAACCTTCGACTACCTCATTAAATTAATTAGAATCTGCTGTGTTACTACTTCCATTGAATACGGTACCTACGGTACTTTGTTGGAGACGAACAATTCCTTGCCTCTCTAGGTTCCTTTGTGTTGGATAATTATTTTTGCCATTGAGTCATAAAATGACCCTTTTCTCCCTCTTTGGACGTTTCTGGCTGTTGGTTTAGTGGTTAAGTTCTGGCGCACATACTAGCTTAGGCCAGGACACACTTACCGGCGAAACTGCTGGACGCCGGATCCGGTGGAACCACCGGAGGTTGAGATCCAGAATATTTGTGAAAACTATTTTGCCGTAGCCGGCGACAATAGAGTGCAATGAACTCTGAATCAGTTGTACCTATCTTAGAAATAGTAGGCTATTGTCAAGACCTCAAAAGTTGGCCGTGCCGTGTTTGATCCACCACAGAAGGAAGAGGAAACACCGCCGAAGTATTTGTGTTCATCCAATTCGGGAGAACAGACGCCACATACTACACAGACAGCATTTTATACTCTATTTTTACAGTTGAGTAATGACAAAAATAAGTTTATAGGCCTAATCATTTTTGGATGTCTGTCCCCTCATTCGACGAGCTATTATCAAAGATTAGAGTGCAAATACAAGAACAAGACACGTACATGAGACACTGTATTTATCCGCAAGAGATGCAGCACAAATTTGTCTCCATCTGTCCCTCGTATTGTTTTTGTCTTTGTAAATTTCCAAAGCCCAAAAACCAACTTAGGTTTGAATGGTCAATGAGGTAAGGTAAGGTAAATTTCCAAAGATCTAGGCCCCTATCCCAAAGTTCTGGTTTCTCATGAACCTAACTAATAAGTAAATCCATATCAACATCGACCATGATGATGTAGAAAACTAAACACTCTAAAAATAAAAACTAAACTAAATACACCACTTGGACACTGCGCTAAAATCAAAAACAACCACCACCCTTGAGGGTTGAACCACGACTGAGGAGTGGGGGCAGCCGCAGTTCCGGCTGTTTCGCCGGTATGTGTATCTCCATAAGGTAGGCTACTAACCCCCGGGTGTGTGTGCTGGGCCGTTGAAACCGGCGGTCCGGGGAAGTAGAGAATATCCGACGGATTCGCCGGAGCATTTTCCCGCCGGACCGGCGGTTTTGCCGAACCGGAGAAGTGTGGCCTTCCCCATGCATTTCGGTGTATCTCAACTTGCTCCGGCGTCCGGCGGTTTTGCTAGTAAGTGTGTCCCTGGCCTTACCAATAATCTTATCAAGGATTTTTTAAGGTTCAAATCTTGCATTGATCGGTAGCCCCGCATTAAGTTAGTCAAGTGATGTAATCAATAATCCATTTGTTTTCAATTCATTTCATTTTTGTACTATCTTGAGATTCAGATCAACAGACCTAGTGCAAATGAAGCTAAGTTAATCTTACCCTGTTTTAGTTAGACTTGCCAAACACGTTTAAGTTCAAACCTTAGGTTTGATTGGGTAAAAAAAGTAAAATATCAAACCATCTAATTGGGGGGGGGGGGGGGGAATTATGAAATGCTGTTTATTTCAGCATTTTAATGCTGGCTTTGAGGATCTGGATTATTAGGGACAGAAGTTGTAACAATGTATTTGATTGGATTTGGAACAAAGGGGAAACCTTATGTTTTTATTGAAAACTCCTCCAACCTGATCCTGCATCCTGATCCTGATTAACTGATCCCTTATTCCTTCCAGGCTTCTAAGCTATTTACTATGCCAACCTACATTTAATGTTGAAACAGATTGTTTGGATATCTGTAAATTCTGATAAACTTAGCTTAATTTATTTCGTTTTCCGGACTAATTTGTTTTCCAAATGCTATTAATTTTAATGAATACAATTTTGGTTACCATTTAGGAAAAACAACTATAGAAAAAACTAGCGTAACTCATGCTTTTTTGTAAGATTTAGATACCATAGCGATTGTGTCATCTAATTACTACAGTACTGATAAGAGTTTGCAAAGCTGACTGAACGATTGTACTACCGGGGTCACGACGTGATAGTTACACACAGTCCAATGGGCACAGCTTCATTGACTTCCTGTTCCTGTTTTAGCAAACCATCCTAAAAAAGAAATACAAATAAATATATGTTGAGACAGGTAATGCTGTGTAGCCAATTAACACCCCTATGTCATTTAAACATAAACCTATATTTTTTCACTAGAACTGATTTATATTGTTGCACTGGTCCCATGCATATTCAACCATTCTTTTAAATTAGGCTAATATTAGTTACCGCATAATTAAAGTGAACCAACTATTACCTCTTGCCATTTGTATAAACTAAAGTATTAAATCTATGATTTAGAGTTTAAAATAGGTATACTTTAATGAGTGTTTGTTACAAAAATCATAAAAAACGTCAGAACATTATCCATCCAGTAAAACATACAGCCTACACCACTGGCAGGCAATCTTTGAAAAACTCTTAAAAAGGAAGGAAAAAAAGATATAGACCTACCATCTACATGTTTTCTTTTTCAAATAATAAAAAAAAACTTTTAGCCTACATGTTTATTTATTTATTCAAACGAATATCTCCATTTTATATGAAAATCAATTAGTACTGGTATTATTCCAATAAACAGATCATAAAAATTCATTGATTGAAAATGTGGTGGGACTGAAAAACCCTCCAAATAAGTATGTTTTGCTTTTAATTTATTAGGACAATATTGACCCATTTTTCACAAATCTCTTACATTATCAGCAATTATAGGTGATATCTGACATAGCCATGTGCAGGACAAGTGTGATATAATAGCAACAAGGTTTTATCATTTGAAGTCAATGCCATGATAAGAGACTGACCTTGGCTCAGTAATCTAATTTAACTTGGCAACTTTTGTAAATAAGTTCTAAATAACCCAAAAATACCAGTTAGGCAATTTTGTAGATTGGTTTTAAAAATAAAAAAAACTATTTTCATGGGTTGAACAAAGTATTATAACAAAGATGCGCCCTTCTCTTTATATTAGAGATTGGAGTGTCTGTCCTTTATGTGTTACCAAACCGGCCATCCGATCGTGATGAAACTCTTGAAAAAGTTGTTCTATACACCACCAAGAAGGTTTCTGTCCCATTCCCATTCTTAAAAACTCCCTTGGAGCTCCGCCCTAGTGGCTCTGAAGTTTCCATGTTTACCTTATGGGTATTACCTATCCTAAAAATTATTGGGATTACTTTTCCGAGTCAGTTTGGCTCTTCTATCTGACCGATTTTCATAGTTTTGGTCTTAAATTAAAGGTATGCACACATAGATCAAGCATCGTCATTCTATTATCTGACGCATATTTCGAGTTATGAGCAGGAGCAACTTCCTCTCTGTACATTTCTTATGAGAGTTAAATTTTGTTTTTCTTTTCCGAGTTTGTTTGGCTCTTCTACCCGACCGATTTTCATAAAATTTTTGTTTTAAATTTAAGGTATGCATACACAGATTTGCCATCAAGAATCATGATTTATTCATCTATTGTTGTCCATTTTACCGGTACCTACTGTATTAATTGACCAAAAACATTAATTTCATTATTCTTAAATTCTTGATTCAATTAAAGAGGTATTTCACCAGTTTTAATTACCTTATCCTATATGTTTTGGTCCAAGAACAATCAGTGAAATACCAGCTTTCATTTTTCTCTTTTAGCGAATTTCCCATGTAGGGAATAAGCTATTACCGTACTCATGGTAAGACCAGGACCCGGGACCGATTTACTTTTTTGTTTTGAGGTCCCTATAGGCCAAAAACACCATTCGTTCAAATCTATAAGTATAAAAGAGGATGTTTGTATATTTGTTTGGCAGTGATAAACTCAGACACCGCTGAACCGATTGCCACGAAACTTGGTACATACGTGTAGAATTTCATGGAATAGGTTTATACACCATCAATTTCGTGATCCGTCCAATCGGCTCCGCCCCAGTGGCTCTGGAGTTTCCCATGTTAACCTTATGAGAAATGGAATTAATGAATCTTAACAGCTGTAAACAAGTTGGTTCTGTTCTATGATGTTCAATAGCATTAAAGTTACAAGGATTACCAACAGGGTGCAGCACTATTATTTCTTTTACATTTATGACAACAGCTAATTTGCAACCAAAAGGTGAGTGAGCGTAGCGAACGAACTTCAAACTGGAGGCGAGTTAGCGTAGCGAACGAGCTAACCTGAAGGCAAGTGAGCGTAGCGAATGAGCTAATCTGAAGGCAAGTGAGCGCAGCGAACGAGCTCCAACCGAAAGGTGAGTGAGCGTAGCGAACGAGCTCCAACCTAAAGGTGAGTGAGCGTAGCGAACAAACTTCAACCAGGACGTGATTGAGCCATGCGAACGAGATCATCTTGAAAATTAAGAAGTTAAACGGGACAAAGCCCGCGGGTTACAGCTAGTACATATATATATATATATGTCCGTTAGTGCGATAACTCAAGCAAAAATGATCCGATTTTGATAAAATTTGATTCAAACGTTTAAACCTACATTTATTCGAACGAGACACCGAACCAGCATGATCGGACTATGGGAATGGGGGTTTATGGGGGGTTTTATGGGGTAAAAATAGGTTTATCACATTTTTGACCCTAAAACACAAAATTTCACAACTTATTTCCAAACCATTTTGTAGAGCATAAAAAAAACAAATAATTTAGTATATTGGCGCGTTATTATGCGCCTAATGGTTACGGAGAAAATTCCAAACAATTTTAAATTTAAAATTCCCACGTTATTTTATGGAGAATAAGTCAACTGTTGTAGTTTGATTGTTTATGAACACATTTTGACCAAATTTTGAAAATACATTCATTTGTTACTAAACTACAGTATTAACATTTTACAACAAAAAACACTGTTTTACCCTCCCTGTTGCAGCACTCTAAGTACTCGTTAAACTAATTCTATTTAAATAGGGAATAAATGTGATATTTTTAAGGAGACATTTTATTGTAAATCCAATCAGGCAAATGAAAAAATGCTAAGTCTGCAGGTTTGCTGTGGCGGGGGTATTTGGTACTGCAGTAACACCCGATTGTAAATTTCAGATGGAACCGGCCGCATTGAAGCCAAAAAGCCTGTTGTGGAGATGGACGGAGATGAAATGACCAGGATCATTTGGGCGAACATCAAGGAAAACCTCATCTTCCCTTATGTTAAGGTGTGTTACTTGTAGAGTCTAGTGTTTCGGAATTTAATAATTAGATAGAATAAAGAGTAGGCCACTGGCCCTTACCTAAGTACCTTAACGGTGACAATCATATTTTAGACTTCTTAGTTAACTAGATTTAATACATTATAGTTTCATTTTCAAGCCTTGTCCTCTTATACAAATATTTTAATGTATTGTCCCAACTCAAGCAATTTTAATTACGAGATTATGGCTTTGAAATGAAATAACAGTAAAATGTTTTGAAACTAGTCTCCTGAGACTGAAATAGCATTTTAGGCATTAAAAATATATGTCATAAATCAATTCTGGAAACAGTGTTGAATAAAATGGCAATAAATTTACCATAACCATTTAAAGGTTCTCCTTGTTGATTAAAATGTTATTGGTTCTATCTAGTGTTATTCATCCTTTGAAAACGTTTGTAGCCATATTTTACCTTAGAGTGAGTTTGAATACTGCTACAGATTGAAAGCTGAATAGGTTGAGCTCTTCTAAAATTGTAAATATTCAATTAATGAATTACGTTTCTTTTAAATGTTGTACCTTTTTTACTCTAGGTTGACTGTGAGTATTACGACCTGGGACTGCCTTACAGAGACGCCACCGATGATCAAGTTACTATTGATGCGGCCAACGCCATCAAGAAACACAACGTAGGCATCAAGTGTGCAACCATCACACCTGACGAGGCCCGTGTCGAAGGTACGTGTACAAATTTATGGTGAATGATTATGTCAGATGATATAAAAGATTATGTGATCACACGTCTCTAACTTTGATTCAAAATCATGAAAATTCATCCTCACTTGGTACAAGGTGTGGCAAAACTGATTAAGTAGATTCACTCGTAAAGTTCTCTGGCTGTCGAGGTGGTGGTCCATCACAATTTTGGCCTTGTTGTCATCTCATACCACTCATACCATTTAATTCAATATCATGGTTTTAACCAGAATACACAGAGGTTAATCAGCGTGTGCTTATTTCTAAAACTCTAAGTCATACACCAGCTCTTTGCTGGTTGGTTTTTTTGTCCAACGATACTATTTCGTGTGGAAACACAATACAAACATTGAAGAAAATGGTAGCACTCTCAAAACAGACGACGAAGATTAATGAGAACTGCAGAAAATGTTGAGTTAGAGCAGCAGAATTAGTTGAGTAGTCAGCAAGAGGTTGGCCAAATGCTTGTGCAAAATACTCCTGAAGCATATTTCAATACAAATTTCTGTGTTTTTCACAATCGGTCCATATTAGTTCTTGGGCACTTATAGTTTTGAAGGCCATGGATGTGAAGGCAATTAACATTTTAAAATTCTTCTCAAACTATGATCCGACATTCTTACTGCAACAGTATGCAAGATTATGGAAGATCTTGGCTACCGCTTAAACGCTGCTCTAACCAACACTTGCGGTGTTATCACTGATCTTCGTCATCCGTGTTTCTCAGTTTTGAGAGTTTTACCACTTTCTTCCAACTTTCTGACCAATCGTTTTATTTTGTGCACTAAGAACAGTGTCATTGAGCAGAAAAAACTGCTGGCTGAAAGCTTTTTGTGTTGCAATCACTGATGAAATTAAATGAAATGGAATAAAAATGAAATGAAAAATGTCTTTATTTAAGAGGCAAAGTTAGGACTTGTAAGTCCTCTCTACCACTTAACCTCTAAAACATAAATAAAAACTTATTCACTCATATAAGTAAATTTAAATAATCTAAAGTAGGCCTAATCCAAAGTAATACATTAAATGAATAAACATGAAGAAATTAAGTTTTGTTAAGAAAAAAATCCCAGTCACACAAGCCGCCAACAACCTCTCACACTAGCGCCATAGACTCACTCACGCCTGCTGCTCAATATATAATAGATTTAATCTCTGCCCCAAACCACGCACGGTTTCCTATGGATTTGATATGGTCAGGAAGAGAATTCCACATTTGAATTGCAGATACCAAGAAGGATTTGCTAAAAACTGTTGACCGGCGAATTGGTGTAGATAGTGAGAGCTTCTATGAGTGGCACGGGTGCTGATGTCAGAAATAAAATGGAAGTTGTCTAGTAAATAAAAATAATTGAGAATTTTACTATTGATAATGGAGTGTAGAAGACGGAGGGTGTGAAATTCCCGAAGTTCATTTAACTTCATCATCAATGAAAGCAGATTGAAATAGGGAGTTACCATGGTCATATCGCCTAAGGCCAAACATGAATCTGATACAGGAATTCTGCGCTCGCTGAAGTCTACTAGAAACTTCATTTATGTCATTGATCACCACATCACAGTAGTTGAAATAAGTCAAGATGAGAGTTTTTACTAACATGATTTTCAAGTTCAGTGGAAGGTAGTCTGCATAACGTTTGATAGTGTGAATAGCTCCAAAGACCCTGTTACAAGTGGAGATGGCTTGGTCAGACCAATTCAAATGTTTGTTCATTATGAGTCCTAAGTTTATCACTTTGTCGCAGTAGGTGAGATCCTTTCCGTCGAAGCTAAATCGTGGTGCAGTGAGTAAGTTGATTTTAGTCATTAGTCTGGGGTAACCAACAATCATTGCATGTGTTTTGTCAATGTTGAGTTTAAGTCCGTTGTTTGTGGCCCAGTGAGTTATCAATTCAACGTAAAAATTTGCACTGATCTTGAAAATCAAAATTTACACTGATGTGTAGTTTTGGAAATACGCACACGCTGCATAAAGATGATGGCGACTAAAATAGTACAAATTACAATTTAAACATCTTTGCCACCAAGACTGATAATTGAATATAATATAATAGGTTACGTACCTTATTCCGTCTTCAGTCTTAACTTAGTCAATGCTGGATGACTAGTTTCGGGAACAAAGTCCCATTATCAAATCCTTATTTAAAACATCAATTGAATATGGTCAAATATCCGACGTAAGTCTTCATCAATGTATACATGTAGGTTGACGACACATAAAGTTCACACATTTTACATAAATATAGTTACAAAAACAATTACGATAGGCCGGCCACATTGAGTACGGGACAAACCGACGCAGGTTACACGGCGGACACGACAGAACTATCCATTGTCCAGTTGGTGACATTGACCTTGGGGGAGGGGGTACGTCAGCTGATAAAGACGTCTAGTAGCTCTGATGTCAATGTTTTCAATTCTATCAAATAAAATATTTGAACCATAGTTTAGTTTTTCATTCAAAACGTCTTGAGAGGATTTTTTATTGGCTTTATAAATTTCAAGACTTTCTAAGACGTTCATGAGCGGACCTTTACTGCATTTGTGCAAGATTTGTAAATTATCTTGGCAACTGTTTACATTGTGATTGGCATTTACTAGATGTTCTGCAAATTTGGATCGTTGTAATGACAGTTTAGGTTTATGTAGGTGTTCTTTAAATCTGGTATTAAAGGAGCGTCCCGATTGGCCTATGTATAATTTGGAGCAATCATTACAAGATAGTTTGTAAACACCTGTGCCATTTAAATCATTATCATTTTGTTTACGGTTGGACTGGCTCAAATGACGTTCTAGCTTGTTTGATGTTTTACTAGCTAAGGTGATTTGATGTTTTTTCAATTCATTTTTTAACGTATAGTGTAGGTTGGCTCCAAATTCGACGGATACAAAGTTGCTGGGTATATCAATTTGTTTACCAATTTTGCGCTTTTGTTTGTCAACTATCTTATCGATAATACTGCTGGGGTAACCATTGCTAACAGCTATATATTTCAGAATGAGGTACTCTGAGTTGTAGTCTTCTGGGGACAATGGGATTTTTAACATTCTGTTTACAAAACTGTTGTAAGCTGCCATTTTGTGAGCTTGGGGATGATTAGATGAGGCATGAATGGTGTGGTCAGTAGTCGTAGGCTTCCTGTAGATTTTGAATTTTATTATGTCATTATCTTTCGTGAGCGTTAAATCCAGGAAGTTTAAAGATTGGTTCATTTCGATTTCCAGTGTAAACTTTAAGTTAGAGGATATGTTATTTAAATAATTATTCAGAAGCTGCAGTTGTCTGGAGTTGCCTTTAAAAATTAAAAATATGATGTTTTAAAGTTTGATGTTTTAAATAAGGATTTGATAATGGGACTTTGTTCCCGAAACTAGTCATCCAGCATTGACTAAGTTAAGACTGAAGACGGAATAAGGTACGTAACCTATTATATTATATACAAATTACAAGACCAAAAGAGTACCACCTTCACACCTAGAGTAATAATACGTTTTGCCACACCCTGTCCTTATCTTAAAATTGACAAACCTCAATGATGAGTAAGATAAATAAAGTAAAAATGTTAATCGTAAATTAAATTTTGACCTAGAGAATGTTGCCAAAAACAGTAGGAGGATAACTGGGTATTTATGATCCTTCAGATTAATTGATTTGGAGTTTATGATGATGTTTTGATAGAAGCCGATACAGTTCAGTTGAAAGGTACAGTAAACAGTATACAGTTAAAAAGTATAGCCTTTGAGTTGTTAAAAATGTGCAGTTGAAATGAAAGGTATCCAGTTTGTAACAAATTTAAGGTGCATCATATCATATTAAATATCATAACAAACATAAACCAAGATTTAGTTCAATCTCTAGTTTTAAACTTAAGATACAATTCACACTTAACAAGTTGTCATCTACAAAGTAATTACCTCAGTAAATACTTTTTTGGAATTAAATATCATATTCTGCTTTCTCTTTGAGTTCAAAGCAATTTATAAACTTATACTATATTTGTATCCTAGGCCATATTTAGTTCAATGATATACAATAATTGTATTAAAAGTCAAAGGTTCAGTTTAATTCTTTAAAACGGCGACACTAGGGGAGAAAAGGCAAAGTGAATTGTAAAATAAACTAATTCGATAAAGGTATAATATTTTCATATTCCTCTCATATGACCCACTTACTTATACTCAATAAGCATAAAACATATCTTTAACTAACCATTTAATTTTCCAGAATTCAAGTTGAAGAAGATGTGGCTCTCGCCTAACGGTACGATCCGTAACATCCTGGGCGGTACAGTGTTCCGAGAGCCAATCATGTGCAAGACAATCCCGCGGCTGGTGCCGGGTTGGACCAATCCCATCGTGATCGGCCGTCACGCCTTCGGAGACCAGTACAAAGCTACTGACACAGTCATCAGCGGCCCCGGCAAGCTGGAGCTGGTGTTCACTGGCAAAGATGGCAAAACCGTTACCAACACTGTGTATGAGTTCAAGAGTCCGGGCGTGGCTCTGGCTATGTACAACACGGACGAGAGTGTTGCCGCCTTCGCTCACTCCAGCTTCCAGGCGAGTTAATAGTAGCCTATAGTATGTTAGTTTATACATTAGAGGTTAGCAAATCTCATATTTGCAACAAATATGAATTATTTATTGCTTTTAGTTCTTGAGTATGTTTGTACATTATGAGGTTCTGCTCTATGGGGATAAGCAAAACCGGTGGACCACATAGTATTAATTTAAAATCGCAACTGTTTATGTTATTCAAAGACTTTACAAACATTTAGCTATGAATATAGTTGCCCCCGATTATTTTGCTAACTAACCTCTTTCTCTCATTAATTTAAATATTTTTTCACCCTTGAACTTAAGACCTGTATTTGCTTCAGAAAAGAAATTTGTTTTGCAATATTCTACTAAATTTCAAAACCATTTTGAGATATGAGCAATTAAATCTATTAGTATTATCAGTTTTTAGTTCCTTGTTAAGATTGCTTGTAATTATTTGAAGTAATCACTTCGTGCTGATGGTTGGTCAATTATTATAGCAATTATAACTGATAATATCCCTTAATTATCTGAACACTCAATGATTTAAATTGGTCTAGAAATAAATTTATTAGGCCTAGAGGAGATAAACAAAGCTCACTCTTTCAATAAGTAAATCACAAACTATCAAATATAATTTTAAACGATTAGATAATATTACAGTTTTGAGTTTAGTCTGTAGCATTAATTATGTTTGGATAAGCTCATTTCCTGGTGGTGTTAATGCAAATTTGAAGTTTCCTAATTGGTTTTCATCTTTGTAGGTAGCGTTGGGCAAGAAGTGGCCCCTCTATCTGTCAACCAAGAACACCATCTTGAAAAAATACGATGGAAGGTTCAAAGACATTTTTCAGGAAATTTATGAGAAGTAAGTACATGTGTAGGCCTATACTCACCTTTTACTCGTACTCGTTCACTCGTAGTAAAATTATACGTGAAAAAGAACTAAAAAAAACAATCCAAATTAGCGTGTGCATTCCGACGAACTATAAAACCAGTGTTTTAAATTTCAACACCATTTTTGTAGGGCATGTCCAACTTAATTTAAACTTTGTAGAATTGTTTTTCTCTTCTACAGGAAATGTAATGTAGAAGTTGTATGATTTCAATAAACATACATAGAATTGAAAATGTAATTCTACGAGACATAGTCATAAGTGATCCAGATATTGATAGCAAAATCATTTGCAGTTAATGCTAGCTGAATCATTATACTTCGTTCACAAAATATAGGTGGTTTCAGGGGGGAAAAATCTATCCCCTTTACCTTTAAAAGAATAGCTCAACAGTTGGGGTTTGCCAAAACGTCTATCAGCTGCAATATATAGGAAAAAAAAGTACAGTAGACCCCCTCTTAACCGACCCTAATGGGACCGGACCTAGGTCGGATAACTCAAAAGGTCGGTTAAAACGGGCAATCCCTAAAATCATGACATAATGAAGTGCTATTCATTTGGAATTATATTATAATTCCAAATGAATAGCACTTCATAATTATATAATCATTATTTTGAAGTCATACTTAAAATATTTATAGAATAAACTTTTCTTATCTCCTTTTTCGTATTGATAGAAAAGTCACAAATAAAAACAAAACACGGTTAAGTCAAATAGGCTTACTTTCAGTGGAATGTATTATAATACTACACAAGAGTCAATAAAAATTCCTATTTTAATAACTTTAGTACTGTAACGTACTAATTGCTGCTTTCCAAATCCATCGTAAAACAGTACAGAACCGTTTGTCGAATTTAAAGATACAAGTAACCATTTTGTTACAAGACAGGATGTTTATTTATATCCTCTCACTGGGGGCTCGAGGCACAAAAACTATCTTGACCTTGGAGTTGTTAACCCCCCTTCCCTGCCCTCCCTACAAGTTGCGTTGTTTGTTTACTCCAGCGATAAGATAATCAGTTTTCAAAATCGTAACGCACTTTGTGATGTTATAAATTTGCCGTACAGATAACAAATCAGATCAGATGTGCTCGCGCTACGAACCATGATGACAAACACTGACAATAGGCTATGCTATATTTTTTGTGATCAATACAATATAACTTATCTTAGTCATATCCTGTGGAGATTAGTGTAGGTATGGTTCAGTTCTCATCGCCCAGTGTGGGAGCGGAAATGCCGAGATTCCTAGAAAGCGGCGGTTAAACCGAACTGCTCTGAAAGCAAGGTCGGTTAAAACAAACTGTATTATTTTACGATCGAAGGCAGATAATCCGATTATCGGTTAATACGAGGTCGGTTAAGAGGGGGTCTACTGTAGTGGGGAAACTTCCCTCAAATTGCTTAAAGTTTTTGAATGGACTATATTGTATCAGCATGTGTTATAGAATAAGAGTTTTTGCAATCAATGGTTAATAACAGAACCACAAGGGTTGCGGCAAATTGTTAGCAGAATCTTAAGTGTTGTATCGATTACTAGGATCATAAATGTGATGCAATTAACACTGATCACTGATCAACTGATCAATGAATATTTTTTCTGACCGATGAGAATGCATTTTTAATTAATTGTCTGGGTGGCTGTTGGTGCTTGTCTTAAAATCTGAAGGTTTGCTGGTTCGATTCCAAGCGAGATAGTTACTTGACCTAGATGTCATTTGACCTTGAGCTATCAGTTAAGTAATAAGACCAAGGTTTGGACCATTCTCTTACAAAAACATTTACAAATCCCATGCCGTAGATAACATAAACAAGTTTAATTGTGTATCAGCAGTTAACAAAGAAACGCTAGATGCTAAGGCAGTGGCGTTGATAATTTTGCAAAATTAATTGGTGACATATACTGTGCTAGAGCAATAGAGTTTTATCAAACTGTTACTTTAGGCCTTATTTTTCAAAGACTAGAAACCAAGTCTGAACATAACTATATGTTCAGTAATCAAAAACAAATACCCATGTATACGAAAATTACAGTACAAAAATGCTAAGTAAATCCATGTTGCAGGGAGTACAAGGCCAGTTTTGAGAAGATTGGCATCTGGTATGAGCATCGTCTGATTGATGACATGGTGGCTCAGGCGCTCAAGTCTAACGGAGGTTTTGTATGGAGCTGCAAAAACTACGACGGAGACGTACAATCAGACATTGTAGCTCAGGGCTACGGTGAGTGACTATAGACTAACACAAGTAGACTTCTTGTCCCATTGTAAAATCTGGAGCTGGTTTTTAGGCTCGTTTAACATCCAACCCGACTTCTAACCGGCGCCAGCAAGGGTGCACTGTTCACATTTCGCCGACAACGGCACTTTAGCAGTTGTACTCCAGCTTTTGAAACGTGTCCTAGGTATAGAAATGGAACATAATAGAGAAACTGCAATGTTACTTTGAAGTTTAGACGTTAGACTCCCGCAGTCACGGAAACGTCATCGTCGTCATGCTCGATCGTGGCAATAGACATAGACATATTTTATTTGCACATAACATTCTTTACAAGTGTTGGTACATATAGAATAGGTGCATTGTCAGAGTTAAATTATCAGAATATAAAAAATATAATAAAAGATAATGTAAATTAACAAAATTTAATAATAAAACTATTCTAAACTAAAGAGGTATTATGAAAATCTGCAATTAAATAAAAGGCTCTGGCAATAGCGGTTTCCGATCGTGCGATCTTCGTTGAAGTGTTTTTTAAGTGTTTTTATTGTTAGCATTCCAGTAATCCGGCATTTTCACTAATCCGGCAATATCACGGTCCTATATCTGCCAGATTACTGAGAGTACTGTACAAACAACAGAACTAAAAGTACACCTGGTACAGACGACAGGTGCTGGTTGTATGTGAATTGGGCCATTATACCCACTGCTCCAGCCGGCTCGTTTACCCGTCACTGGCAGCCGGCCTTCGCCAAAGGGGACACCCAGCATCCCTCGACTAGTAGCCTACACGGCAGCCGGGTTAGTGAATAACAACCATATATGAACGGTCCGATATACTTCTTCACCCCACTGTCAGTTAAACGGCACTAGACAGCCCGTTAGATGAGAAACAGACCTTATGATTGGTTCATGTTGGTGATGTTGAGAGCTACTGTCGACAAAATTGTGTCCAATAAATATGCATAAATAGGTTCCTACGTTTATATGATTTAGAACATTGCACTAGAGCAACTAGGCCAGTACTTGATGTCTTGTTGGTTCATTTGAAGGTCTTCAACGGTGATTGAATAAATTTATCACATAAAAACACTAAAACGAGAAAAAACGCTGGGGATAGGCAGGGCACGACGTTATCAGACAGAAGTTAACTAGTATGGTAAGTAACTAGTTTGGAGACATCCGATGACTATTGGTAACCTTTGACTGTTAATGGACATTCCATCCCTATGTTAAAATTAACACCGGTTTTTTTAATCATAATGATTGTAGTTGATGTGAGCCACCGACAGAGATTGCTGATGTAAATTACTAATTTCTGTTGATTGTTGAATACACAAACATTTTTACTAAGTACACTGATAGGATGACTTATTAAGCTATAGAGTCTTTTATGCCACATCAACTATCTTTTACTGAGTGATTGTTTTAACAGGATCTCTGGGCCTGATGACCTCGGTACTCATGTGTCCGGATGGTAAGACGATAGAGTCAGAGGCAGCTCACGGCACTGTCACCAGACATTACCGGTAAATATAGTAAATATAAGTTAGTTAACATTCTGAAACAGTACAAGTATCATCAATGTATTAACAGCATCACACTGTTTGTTTTAGATAGCAGGATTTTCTCAAACAATTTTTTTAATTTCTCAAAAGTGAATATGTTAGTCCCGTAAAACTGAGGAAACATTAACTCTACTTAACCTAAACAGACAATAACAGTAACATTTCAGAACCAACGTCATAATAAATTTTTAAAACTATGTAGTATTAATTTGTATTGACCTCTCTGTTAAATCAAGAGTACCAACCAAGGTAATCACAATTCTTGTCAATTAAAAAGTGCCTAATTTGTGTTTTTCCCCTTAACAGTCAACACCAACAAGGCAAGGCCACGTCTACCAACCCGATAGCTTCCATCTTCGCCTGGACAAGAGGCCTAGAGCACCGAGCCAAGCTTGACAGCACTCCAGACCTGGCCAAGTGAGTTCATCTTGTTAGGTTGGCATTGTAATACCAGGCTAGTAGTTGATTAGGTGCCCTAATTGTATACAGGATGGCAAAAAAGTTTCAGAATGGTTAAATATAAAATATATATATATATATTACAGAAAGCTACAAAACTGGCACAAAGTTACTGGGCATAAAAATAATATTAACACATCATTCACTATTCAGTGATACGCTACTCTTCAGGGGGACAGCCCTAAAGGAGTCAGAAGAAAATCTTAAATGTAAGCATAGGTTTATATGCACATCAAATTAGAGGTCTTTGTTAGTAAAATACAATGCTTGTTGTCAACTTTACCACTGAGGGCGCCTCATCATAGAATGTAGAATGTAGACGTAGTTCTCATTGGATGACTGAGAATTCAGTCTTTGTTAGGCCGGGCGCACACCTGATGCGGCACGGCACGGCACGGCGTGACGTTTTGCCTTAAGGCGCCTTATGCGACTAGATTTCTATTATTTCAAATGGGGGTGCCGCACACATCATTGGGCACGGCAAGGCAAGGCAAAAGAACGCCATACGGCGCTTTGTTCTGCCTTTTCAATTTTCGTCTTTTGGGCAAAAGGCTTGAGGCAAAACGATGTGCGCATGCGCGAGTATCGACACCACGTTCAGCGCATTGACAGCCCCTACCAAAATCAGTGTGCACTTTCAACGATTAGTAACTATGATTTTTTCCGGATCTGCTCGTAGTTCTGCAATGAATGGTTTCAAGTTCCTTTTTTGGTTGATGGGATGCACCCACGATTCTCTGTTAGGGAGATCATCCATTACATTCATTAGGTACCATCATCCTACTAATATTATAAATGAGAAAGTTTGGATGTATGGATGTATGTTTGTGACAAGTGAACGCATTAACCACTGGATGGATTTTGCTGAAATTTGGCATGATGATAGCTCACATTCCCGATTAACATATAGGCATATTCTTACCTCAAAAATCCTTTCGGGCTCCGCCCCAGTGGCTCTATAGTTCCCCATGTTAACCTTATGAGTATTCATATTAAAAGGGAATTAAATAATTTAGTCAGTTGTTTCAACTAAAAAGTTGATTCTATGATATGCAAAAGCATTAAAAACTTACAAGGATTACCAACAGGGTGCAGCACTATTATTTTTTTTTATCTATGACAACAGCTAATTTGCAACCAAAAGGTGAGTGAGCGTAGCGAACGAACTTCGTCCTGGAGGCGAGTTAGCGTAGCGAACGAGCTAACCTGAAGGCAAGTGAGCGCAGCGAACGAGCTCTAACCTAAAGGTGAGTGAGCGTAGCGAACGAACTTCAACCAAGACGTGATTGAGCCATGCGAACGAACTTCAACCAGGACGTGATTGAGCCATGCGAACGAGCTCACTTATGAAGTAAAACGGGGCAAAGCCCGCGGGTACAGCTAGTTGACTATATAAACACAACAGTCAATGGTACCATATAGCAGCGATGGCAGCAGCCTCTTCTTCGCCTTCTGCATCCATTCTCACAAAATGTGTGGTACAAAGTGTCACAAAATGTACAAACAACCTCATAACACACAGTATCTCACTTTACTGAAACCATGGGATCGACCATGTGGGTGCTCAAGTCGCCTTGCCGTGCCGTGCCGTATGCATATCAAATCTCCATCGGGCACGGCAAGGCGAGGCAAAGACATCTCGCCTCGCCTTGCCGTGCCGTGCTGTATCAGGTGTGCGGCCGGCCTTATCGTTAAAGTGTACTAAAGCCCCGTTCACACGGGGCGAGTTTACAAGCTACACGCCGGCTTTTTTACACGCAGCTAGTAAAATAGCTCAGTGTGAACGACGTACTCGCTCAAAAGCTGCTTGTAAAAAAGCTCTGGAAAAAGTTGACGGTGCCGCTACTTTACACGCCAACTCGCCAGCTTTTGCGCGAGTAGGCGTGTAAAGTAGCCCAGTGTGAACACAGTTGCTTGTGCTTGTGCGCTTGTTACTCAAAGATGTTGGAGGATTTGGTTCAAGCCAGCTACTGAGCGAGTGGAAAAAGCGTCGTGTGAACGACTACAAGCGCACTCGCCGACTCGCCGGCGTCTTTCTCCACGTCGGCGAGTTGGCGAGTGGACAAGCTCCGTGTGAACGAATACAAGCACACTCGCCAAATCGCCGGCTTCTTACACGCTGGCGTGTAGCTTGTAAACTCGCCCCGTGTGAACGAGGCTTTACTTTAGAGAAGAGGCCGAGACTTTGATTAGACCAAACCATACTTGACTGACTAAAAATCCTTGACCCTTCGACCCCCCCTCACCTTCTAATTGTCTTCTTTTGATTGAAACTGGCTTTAGTTGTCGTCGACATTCTCACAACGCATTTAAGTTTTCTTTCAAATAATTAAGGCTAAAATATTCATTCCCATATTCAGTTTTTTGCCCTTTAAATTACGTAGACTGATAACAACCAGGTCTACGCAGACACCTGCCCATATAGGTCTATCCCATAAGTATGGCAGATTCATCTGACAATGAATTTTGTACAAGTTAATCTTGCTCTCTGTTTTATTTATCTTTCTGTAATGAAATTGGGATAAATAAACGTATTTAATTTTTATTTCCTTTAAAATAAAGAGATAATTTCTAGTTTCTAGTTGGGTCCGTTTTTTAGTTTTGTTAGTTAACTAATGTTTAATACAATTTTACAAATTTTACTTTGTTTTCACTAATATGGCACATCCTCTAGCGACATTGAGAGGTACCATCTGATAATCCGGGATATCAGAGTAATTTGGCATGGGGCCTTGACCGAGCCAGATTATCGGAAGACCACTCTAACAGATACAGACGACAGATAAGTAAGGTACAGAGGAAAGACTCAATGGTGCACTAAGGTTTTCAGCACTAGTTGCTGGTGCCTAGGACAAAGTCCATCACCACCCCCATACAACTGACCCCCCTTGCATCTGCTACAACTTTCACTTTCAGTGGAGGAAGTTCCTGTGGCCTGTATGATAGGCATTTCTGCACAGTGCTCTTCCTCTGGCTCGAGCTCTTTCTTGCTTGTCACAGGTATTCTAGCACTACACACTAGAGGTGAAAGCGTACAATCATCCCTTACACAAGTTTCCTTTGTACCTTACTTCTCTGTGTTCAGACATTACGGGGGCCACTAGCCAATACAGAATCCATCATAGTGTTGTTACAAATACAAAATTTTGATAAAACATTTTATTCGTAGATTCGCCACAGCGCTGGAAGAGTCATGTGTTGAAACTGTAGACTCTGGTAAGATGACCAAAGACTTGGCAGGTTGTATCCATGGACTGCCTAACGTCAAGGAAGGCATGTACCTACACACCGAGGACTTCCTGGCTGCCATCAAGGAGTCACTCGACAAGAAACTGAAGGCCAGAGGCATCGTCAACTAGACATTCCACACGTCTCCTGGGTTGTAAGCGTAACTCACCCCTGTTTAAGTAAGTTGTGAGAATCGTTGAATTAACTTTAGCTTTTGCTTACTTTGTGACTTAGGTCTTTAATTTATTTACTTGCAACATAAATTGTAATTGTATTACTATTCCGTAAAATATTTCTTTACCGGAAGAGTGTAGTTGTTCCCTCCCAAATCGATCGAAGTTGGACAAACACACATTTTGGATGAGTAACATATGATATTTTTCCGTACTGCCCTAACCTGACAATAAAAACTGACAAAATCTGTTATATTTTCCCACCAACTCAAGGACTTAATAATCATCACTCACAACCTCTCTTAGAGGTTATGTTTCCATTGATAACCACTCACTGCCATTAAAATATTATACTATTTACTATAAAACTGCAAAATTGAGTATACAAAGTTAATTAAATAACGACTTAAAAATGTAGTTGTTGTAAATCATTTATCTTATAACTGGTGCAATAATTACAAGGCCATCTTGTTGCCATCCAGAACGTTAGACTGAAAATTAAAAATGTTCAATTAAGTAGAAGATATGGAAACTTATTATTCTTGTAAGTTTGATTGTGATTGTGTTGAACGATTGTGGTGCTATTTTGTGCTAAGTTTCTCAAAATGAAATCATACAATTTGCACAAACAGTATACTGTTTTTTTTAACTGACTGAGGCAGTTTTTTTCAAACTCTCACTCTCATGCCAATGTCCAATTTTGTACAAACTTTGTCAAACCGCATTTAGTGGATAAGTCATGTTAACTGTAAATTTATCTTTAGACAAATTCTTCTAAATGGTAATACAAAATTACCTAAATTTTAAGGGCCTTATTTTAACATTTTTTGGTAGTGGTGTTGTGCCTTATAGCCCAAGGAGCGTGAACTTTATTTAACATGCACTTGTCAGTGATATAATAACTTACATCGGTTTTAAAACCGGTGACTTTGTGTTTAAGGCCAGTAAAAAATCTAGGGGTGGACTATTTTGAAAATAAGTTAAGATTTAACACACAAACCAAGTTAATTGTATATTTGTCCACTTCTAGAAACTATTGTTGAGCTTAGATAAGTAAGTTTTATGTTAATTTAAGTTTAAATGTACTTCAGTCAAGTTGCCAAGAAAGTTTTCTTTTCTTGTGAGACTTATATTTTGTGCAAGAGAAAAGATTAAAATTAATTGTGAATTAATTTTGTGAAGACTGATCATGTTTCTACTTAAAAGCTTGTTGTTCCTGTGTTAGCAAATTTTACTATCGAGTTTTTTCATCCAATATTTATTAAAATTGTTTAGGTAAATGATGGGAATATTTATTCTGGCATCGTTCTTACTTAACCACTGCTTCTTTATTTTCATTTCAAATGAATCAGAGTCAGAACCATTCTAACTTATGTGAAAGAAGTGGAATAATTCATCATCAATATTTTGTATTGATTGCACTCTTTTATACCTGGTATTTAAATTTTTTTATTGAGTTTGTTGAATGTTGAGATGCTGTTTTGTTTTTATTTTTGGCTTTTCGTGTTTGATTCTTGTTTTGCGTTTTCATCAGCTTCATATTATGTTCATACATTATGACTATTTCTGTATATTTTGTCATATCTATATTTTAACTTTGCTCACATTTTTGTTGATTTTTATATATTCTTTATATACATATTTCATATATAAATATTTCTTACCAATTTATCAAGAGTTTTAGAATTATCAAATCATCATTAATTTTGTTTTAACAAATTCTGAAAGTTATGAATTATGAGATTTTGTTGGAGAATAATAGTCTTCTCACACAAATATTTATGACTGATTGTTGTGCCATTGTTGTAAAGAATGTGATTGAATAGACTGATGTGAAATAAAAATTTATTTTAAACAAACTTTTGTATATTTATCAACCCTCTAGGATTTTACCATCCCATCATCATTATATGCATTGTACATTGTAACTTACATGTTTGGTCCCAGATATGTTTCCAGATTGTAGAGTTTTTAATTTTTTTAATTTGTTCAATGCGGCTGCGCATTGGCAGGCCACTGCCAGGCACAAACGAGAGGCATATACTGCGTCCCAGTTGTTGTGGGAGTAGTTTTACAACAAGAACCCAACATATAGCAGCACTAAACAATACTGCTAGCCGGCCCTCAACATTGCCAAATGGAGGGAAAAAGCAAGTGTGAAGTACCTGGATACACCATCAAAAAGTACCGCAAAAAAGCGGTACAATTCAAGCACAATTTTGAGGTTAGGTTCCTTCTACAATGCTTCAGTACATTCATTATCGTTATTTCTATTGCATTTCATTGGATCCAAGCCTAAACCCTAGACTACAATATTTTTTTACAATCCCTACCACCAATAAAATAGTCGGATTTGAAAACGTATCATACCAGATTGAACTATAAAAACTGGCACAACAAGCGGCAAGCGAAACAATGTCTCACGGCAGTGGCTAACCTCACACTGAAAGACTGAAACAATAGTTTGTAAACGGTGCTTTGACGAGTATACTCGTCGCTGGAAAAAGGTAGAGTTGAAGAGATTACTAGTCATCCGCAGTGAACGTGTTATAATTTATAAATTTCAAAAGGGATACTATTTGAATCTACCAAGATAAAATTAATACCAACCAATAAACATTTACTTTATTTAATACCTTCAGTGTAAGCACATTGAAATGGTAAAAACGAAAAATAAGTGTACATTGTTTAGTGATTTTACAAAACATGTTTAAAGTACACAATTTAAAACTGTTGGTTATATAACTCAATTTTTAGGTTATTTTAAAGGAAAGCCAATTGTCTAGTAAAGAATTTTTGAGAAGGAATAGAGTTTATCTGGCTTAAACCTGATTGAGCAAGAGCCCATGACTGCCAGACCTTCGTTATTTTATAAAAGCTGACACTTTCTCAGCACATTCTCAAAATTCAGTTGAGAATTATCAGCAACCATGAAGTTTAGATCTTGGTTAATTTGGCAACAAAAAGGTATCAAAGGTCTGAAATTTGCAAATAAACTTCGTTATCGTATAAAGCTTGGTTCTTTCATATTTTCTTCAGAGGAATGTTAGAAATCATTTCCTCAATTGCCATACACTTTGTGCGGGTTAAACCCTCAGCCAGACAACCCTTAAACTTAGGTATGACGAAGATTAATTTTCGTCATTTTATAAAAGTTGAAATTAATACATGTTTGGGGAGCTATCAAAAGACGTTCACTCAAAAGCCAGACACTTTCTTTAGTTTATTCATCATGCCAGAAACTTTTAAGTCTGCCGTGATAGGCTTAACTGTTACATGTAAACAGTGAATTCAGTTCCAGTTTGGAACAGGTTTCTGTGCTCTTGACTGCTCTTTGAGGAAATTAAAGAGTCTAGGGACTAATAGATACACAATGAAAGAACACAAAACTCTTCAATGAAAGAATAAGGCACTTCCATATCTCTTTCCATCCATTTCTTTTCAATCTATTTTCTGTAGAAGTCCTACATCAGAACGAAATATTGTTGTTTTCTGTTATTTTATTGTGTATCTGTTAGCCCCTGGACCGTAATGTTCTCAGGTTAGCTAGCTGAACTCTATTGCTTTTCAAAAAGTTCCTTAAAACAGTTTAGATATTTGTGGACTTATGTACATTAATGAGGCTATACGGTTTTAAATTATTGCAATAATGTCTTGCATGGCGACATTTCCGATGATGGGGTCGAGTAGTAGGGAGCGCAGTCTGGCAGCATTGATACCCTGAAGAGCTGATAACACTAGTAACAACATAGTGTAGCGGTTAACTCCGGTGTGGTGAGACAGAGCTAGCCGAGCTCGCTCGTAGTGAGTCATCAGCTGGGCTAGGTCTGCGGATGAAACATAAAGAAATTAGGTAACTTATAACATAATAAAAGGTTTTTTTAATTTTTGGCCTCGATACACCAGCAGCTGGTTTCTGTAATCTTTTTAGACAAGGGCGTTTACAGCTGGGACGCGGTATGGTTAAGTCAGCTGGAGTATGGTATACTTACCAATCAGTTTTACAATAGGCACTAAAGTAAGCTAATTTCCACACAAGAAATAGACACGTCCATTGCAACAACGCTAATATTCTTTTGCCTGGAAGATGATCAGTTTATGTGTGAAGTTGTGTGTATTTAACAGTGTTTTAATTTTCTGTATACTTTACTTACCCTGTATATTTATTAATGTTAGTGTGGTGGAATGTATTGTATGCAACTCGTCTGGGAAGTTGTTTACGGTACTTAAATAAAATCCTGCAGTGATGCTCTAATACTTTTAATACTTTTCAATGAAATGGCGACCATACAAAGTAGGTATTTTAAGCCAAGTATATTGTTAACCCCTACTTTCCAGTCATGTATTGTAATATTCTATAACTAGAGTTTCTTTTTATAAATTTAAGTCTTCTATTGAGACCCTGTCGTGACCAAACGAGCTAGTTCAAGTCTAAACTCAGTGTTTTTAAATTTTAACCTCATCCACTATTATTTAGGTTCTCGAAAATTAATTTCGTCGTGGGTGAAAAAAATGAGAGAGTAGCCTAAATTGATTAGGCAACAGAGTTAAGAACCTAGTAAAAATAGATTTGCTTTCTTTTGTCAGAAGTGAAATTATTTTATTTGAGGGATTTTTGGGATTTTCTGCCTTCTTAGGGAAAATCTGTTTTTGATTTTTTATTGTTTTAGATATTTTCTCATTGCCTTGGCGTGCGGCCTTGGGCTGCCTCATGTTAGGGTGGCGAGGACTATAATTGAGATAGGGAAGGTCAATAATCCCTTAATACCATGTGCGTTTTCAGAAAGGAAAAAATGCAATGCTGTTGAAAACCTGTAAAAAATGTGTACAGTTGAAGATTACAAGAATTCCAATAGATATTAAATCATTATTCCTTATTTTGTAGACACAGCCACAAAAGTTACCATTTTTGCAAAGCAGCAGTGTCTCGAGCAAGTTGGTTTCTATTGGGTTTAGTTTGAGATCCTGGCAGGCCATCATCAGGTGACAGACATCAGGACCACAATCAGCTGTTAAAGGAACAGACCAGCTGATGCAATGTAGTAAGAACAGCTGACTCCAGGTGTGGCACAACACCAGGTCCTGTGTGTACCTGGGCAGTGCTGACAACACAATGTTCTGTCTGGCAGAGCGAATACTCAGGAGGAATACCTGGGCTGCGTGTTCGTGCACTCCTATAGAAATAAGGTATCATTAGACGCACACTTTCTCCAAATTTATATAATTTTATTAGGAAATCACAAAATATTTAATAATTGTTACAGTGTGGGGGTTTGTGCCATTTGGTTCAGAGTGAATAGGACTATGGCATACTAAATTTCAATCAAAATTGTTATAACCGTTTTTGTGGAAAATCTGACTTTTCCGTTATTTTATGGGGTTTGCACTTTCAACTGATTGTTTCTTCAATGTATATAAATCTCAGTTTTGACTCCCAACATTGACTTTTGGTTACTGAAGTAGATGTATGTACAACCAGTTCTCGCCAATTTTCAAATAAAAAAACAGTTGAACCAACTACTTACAGTTGTATCACAGTCTAAACTCAAGTTTCTCCTTTAATTTTTGTTTGTAGATGGTTGATGGACTTTAAAAGTACTATAGCTTGCAATAGTTTACCTATGAGCTTGACTTGGTTAAAAAGTTGGGGTATTCAACAGAAATCAGTAATTTACAACAGCGCACTCTGTAGGTGGCTTACATCAACTATGTCCCGTTTGACTAAAAAACTTTAAACAACTTCAACATGAGCTCCCAATTAATTAATTTCACTGACTATATAAACTGCTTGCCAGAAGTAATAATTGAAGTTAAGTACCTGGAGTGAAGTAGTTGAGAATTGTTGATTGTCGAGGACTTCTAACAGATCTGAAGGCACTCCTGCCTGTGCTTCTCAGACTGAGAGTCTTCCTCATAGAAGATCTCCTTGGACCACGCTCCTCCTGAACAGCTGACAAAATAAACATGTTTTTAAGAGCAAAGCCCAATATATGTATTTGTTGTGTCACTCAATATGACACCTTAAACATGTTAAAAGAGTAAAAATGCATGAATGAAAAAAACCTTGTGTTGCAGAATAATTACGTTTTGACAGTGATTTAAATATTGGATCTGAAGTTTTATATTAGTAGTAGTAGACTTAGCATTGACTTTATATCTACACATTATTTTACTTTATATCTTCTACATGTGTGGATATAAAGTCAATGCTTATAGAAAAGCAGTAATAGATATCTAGGATTTGAGGTAATTGAACGGAAATTTACAATAGATGCTATATGACCTCACTTATTCATATTTCACAAATCCTCAAATTCCCTTATTTTCAAATAAAATTGTGTTAAAGCCTAAAAATGTAACACTTGAAACTCTAAAAACACTTTCTCTATAGACATAGATTCTAGAACGTTCCACTGATTTACCTCCCAAACTGAGCTTTGAAATAAGTATCAGTAATTAGAGAACAATGTTTTGTTAACTTGTAAAGAAGGTTTCCTAAAGCTAGCCGCTATTCCTGGTTATTAAATTAAACTAGTACATATGATAGCTGGGAAAAATTTGAAACCTCCTAGATATGTTAGCTGTCAGAAAATTCGAAACATTAAATTTCTCTCATACTTAATAAACTAATAAGTAATCCTTAATATCATCCATAGAGTAACTAAATACAGAAGATAGATTTATGGCTATGTACAATACCATAGCCTCCTTAACAAGGCTCCGTCCAGGTCAGCAATGTGGCAACGCCGCTCTCACAGGCACATGATAATAACAAACGTGGAAGTAGCATAGCACAGACATTCCGTATGAATGAGTGCTACAGGTGGGTTCGGTAGGACGGAACTGCGGCGTTGCCGTATTTGCCTCGCGCTGAATTTTTATTTCAGGATTAGTGTTACCTACAGTATTATTTTGAGGCTTCTGATTGGCTGAGGGAACATCTTCACCGCAACGATACGGATGATGTCAACGGCCTCGGTGGTTTAGTGGATAGAGTGTTGGGCTGATGATCCGAAGGTCCCGGGTTCGAATCCCACCCGTAGCACAATTTTTTATTGGATTTTTTTCATTATCAACAAGTTTGGTTGGTTTGGTTAGGTTATGACGGTTTAATTTTATAATTAAAACATTATGAAATTGAATTTGACCCATTTATAGTTTTATGAACAGAAATATTTTTTTAGGTTAAACCTTCATTTAACTTTTCATTGTTAGCAAGTCTGGTTAGTTTGGTTAGGTTATGATAGTTAAATCTTATAATAAAAAAATTATAAAATAGGATTTGAGGCATTTATAATTTTATTTTATGAACAGAACTATTTTTTCGATTAATAAACCTTCATTAGATTTTTTCATTGTCAGCACGTTTGGTTGGTTAGGTTATGACGGTTTAATTTCATAATAAAAAAAATATAAAATTGAATTTGAGGCATTTATAATTTTATTCTATGAACAAAAATAATTTTTCAATTACTAAACCTTTGTTATAGACAATCAGAAGCCTCCAAATGACACTGTTGGCAAAATTAATCCTGAAAAACAAATTGTGCTTCCCTCGCCGCGGCCTTGTATCAGAGGAGGTTATGACAATGCTTACCATTGCTGTTCATGTGCACCAGGTAACACCTCTGTAGTCTGCAGTGAGGACACCAATTGCGCCGGGCCTTGTCAATCACACATGTTCCTGTCCCGGCTGCATGTACATAACCTCAAACTGTCAACTGCACAAGTCATATTACGCACTATAACCTATAACACTTGAGTAAGCTCTTTACAAAGACACTATCCAATTACTTATCTATCATTAGTGATAGTTTTATAATAAAATCCCTGTTTCTGGTCCGTTCAAAAATATAAACCATTTTCTATTCATGCATGATTCTCAAGCATTATATTTACTGTATTTTCCAATCAAAGCAACGGTAGATAGTACCCTGACTGTCAGTTGAAGTCATATCATCCAAACATCATGAAGCTAATTGTCGATAACTTTTTCTGAAGCCAATAGTCTAAAAACTTTAAAAAAATTGAACTGGTGAAAAGTTTGAAACCGAATATCATTACTTAAGTCTACGATTTAATTTGTTAGCGTCTCAGATTTCTGCGTAAGAAGGGCTGGTTGGATTCTGGATAAATTCACAAAATGGGTTTGGGCTGCTTGCCCTAAAGCGTTCTGGGCTGGGCTACTTCATTTTGAAAATGCAACCAGCGTGGATAATTAAAAATTGAAAACCCGTGGACATTTTATAAAATTACGAAAAGGTGTAAAATTGTTATACTAGACAGTTTTTGATTTGTGGTATTATTGTAAAACAACCTCGGTTGATGACTTATTTTACGTCTGTTAAAGCGAAAGAAAACTTATGTCTCAAATCTTCTGGAAATGCCTCTCCTTAGATCTATCTTCAACAGAATGTAACCCTAGCAACAAGAGACGGGTGAAGTTAAGTCGAAGTACCTATGCAGGAGTAGTTGGTCCCTCGACGTACACTTCTCTTGAAGAAGCACGAACAGCCGTCGCAGCAGTAGACACCATAGTGTTTACCATAAGCTTTATCACCGCAAACTCTGCAAGATACAGGCACTGGCAATGTGCGACCTGTAGACAATATTACATTTTGTAGAACTTGTTACATAGGTACATTAAACATATTCTTTCAGAAATTAGAAGCTGACTTACACTGTCAAAGTAAACTTTCAAAAGACCTGCGAGAACTGCGAGAATATATTATGTTGAATTGGTGGAAATACTGTCCGACCGAAACGTTTTGGATTTTCTCCTCTATAAGTTCTAGCCAGGAATTGTTTTCCACATTACTCCAAGTTAGGCCATTTAGGCTGTAGCATTATTACTTAGATAACATAAATTGGCGATTGGCGGGATTTGAACGCGAGACCTTGGGGAGCGATGTTCAGTGCTCTGCCACTGGACCAGTTCCATCCCCTTGATCAACTAAATAAAGATATTTGACTGAAAGTGTAGACTTATAGACTAAGTGTAGATTTCCCTGAAGATGGTTTTCGGCAGTACATCATTCGTCATTCGTCTATTGGGTCTGATGATGATTGGAGTGTCCAATCGAAATCGATCACCACTTACCATCTTTTTTGTATATTAACCGTCTTGTGAGTAACAGTATAAGCGTAAATATATTTTTTAAGTGTTATAAAACGTTTCTTTTACTTTCCGTAAATTTAATAACACGTACAATGCTGATCAAGAAGTTATCCAACGAATACTCAAACAGAAACTGACAAGATCGTAAACATAAACAAATGATGTTACTGGTCTGAAAGTAAACTTATTTAACATTGCTAAATGGATCTATCTAAACAATAAAAATGTTGATGTTATAGGATGCGGGCCAGCTACGTTATTTGTTTATGTGTATGATCCATACCGCTATCTGTTCTTTGTGATATACAACCGAAACACAAAGACAAATTTAAAGAAAATTTTGAGTTTATTAAATTCGAGAAATTAAATTTAACCTAAATCCAGCTCTGTTATTTTTTTTAAATAAAATTATAATTTTGCCTATACATAGCATAATTAATTTAAAACTAAAATTTCTTTAAATTAAATTACGAGTTTAGTACTACAATACCTACAATGCAATGATAGTATCACAAAATCAAGACCCGGGTAATAATAAATTGAATTTTAGTGAAATAAGATTGCTTAAAGCCTGTAGATTACAGTACCTACCGTTATTATAACGAAAACTAAAATTTTTCATAATGGGTTATTTATCTAGGTTAGTTATGTATTCTTTATTAACGAAGATCCCCATTTAAATTACAATAATAAGTAGACTATTTTGTGTTTTAGGATAAGACAAAGAACTTATTATTCTTGAATAACCAACTAAATATTTCACTTAAAAAGTAAGAATATATAAACATACTACAAGTAACAACATGAACAAAATTATAAAACAATAGGCTATATTACAAAATAATAACAACAATGTCGTATACAACAATTAAACATAATAAGTAACTTAACTTCAAGGTTGTGTGCAAGTGGATCGAACAAAAAAAATAGTGGTGGATATAATAGTATACAGTTAACAATTAATTGTAGCGTATGCAAATGTTGGCTAGTACACTAACCAAAAACCTTTATTCTTAAACAGCTGATTAGCAAGTCATCTACTCGCATGATGTCATAATTTCTTATTGGTGTTGTTTTGTGTCGTTGAAAATTACAACGCATTTTCATGTTGCTTCGCGTTAGTTAGTGTTCGTTTGTGTTTATGTTGTGAGTGTTTGTTAAAAATATTCATTTATCATTCATATTTAGTATCTCGAGAAGTGTTCGTGACTGTATAGTTCACATTTATCTAAAAGGATTAGTGTCAAGTGACTTTTCCGTAATATTATTAAGGCTGATTTTCCTGTGTTGACATGCATCTTTGTTCTGATGATTCATTGCAGTAATTCTGGTTAGTATTTTCATTTAATTATATTATTTCATCAAGCTTACTTTCCGCAGAAACAAAATGGAACAAAATTTAACTATGAAATAGTACTGTAACCCCTTTTGATGTACTCTATACCGATAATATCCTAGTTTACCTTACATCGTGATCACTAAATAATAGTTCATAACAGAGTTATCATACAAATCATAGTGGTATGATTCATATAGGTAGCATATTGTATTCTGTCTTACAAAATCTTTTGTGGCCACAATTTTATTGGAACATGTTTTAGAATTATAATATTTCTATTTTACAATTTGTATTTTGTGTTATAATTTCGAGAATTCAATATGAAATAAACATATAATAAATGCCTTTTGTACACTACATGCTATGTGTAGGCCTACAGACCACATAAAATGTAGGGCTTAATAGCTTTAAGCCCAGAAATAATGAAAACTTTTCTGTTTGCAGGTTAGTGGTTGCAGTCGTACCAAAGGTAAAAATTTAAGTTTGTGTGCATGCCTTGTAGTTTTGGTTTGGACTTTCACATCGTTGGTTTCGGAATTATTCTACCTCAAAGACAGAGTATAGTTAGGGATTTTTACAATTGATTATTAGTTGGTCCTCAGCACTTTTTGCAACTTAATTAATCTTTTTTCTAATATCTGAGATAGTGGTTTAAAATTTACGTAAAATATGTACAATAACATACGTTGTGGAGATGTCTTAAGTTTATAATTTTGTTAACATCGGATCCGTCATTAATGGGACGAAAAAAGTTTTTAGTTGCAAAGTTTAGTTGATATTGAAATATGAAACATACTGGGATGTCATCTACTAAAACAGGTATGTTACATAAGTTTAAATTACTGCACATTTTCTTATTGACATTTAACTAATTATTTGTATAGGTTGGTATCATAGCCTTAGTGATAATTTATATTTAGGCTATACTAAACTTAGTAGGTATTATTATTTTCAAGCATCAAATCTTCGTAAAGCCAAATAGTATTCATGTACAATTGATTTTGTTAGGATGTTAACTCGATGTATTTAATTTAAATTCGAAGTTAAATTAACTTATTTTATTCGTAAAGCTTAAGACCGTAAAAATATGACTTGAATTACTTGATTATTGAACTAAAATACTTTTAATCATTTCGAACTTTAAACTATTTACAGCACCTAAAATAACTGTGTTGTTTTAAAACTAGGGTATTCGACTTATACTTTTGTAAAATTTTATATTATAGAGAGGAGGAATTGAACTAGACTAATTTTTGATGTAGGCTAATACAAAAGTGACTGTTTCGTAAACATTACAGTACTGGGCTATCAGCCAGCTAGTATAACACCAATATTGAAATTTGCTATTTTGAATATTTAAGTCTAAAAAATATTAAGATTAGGCTATATATATTCTATTACTAAAATATGTCACAAATACACACTATACGAAATGAAATTAAATGAATGGTTTATTGTCGTTGAAACTAAAAAGTTCATGACAATCGTCAAAATAAAAATAAAAAATCAAGATGGCTCTAGCATTAAAACTGAAATAGTCTAACTAAAACTCTAACCCAAAGTACTGTACTGTACTCTTCATGTTTGTACAGGCAAGCCTGGAGAGTAGTTTTTAAGACATGTTTGAATTTTAAAACACACCGGTTTTTGATGGAGGCAAGAAATTGTACATTTTAACACCTTGGTACTCAAAACAGTTTTGAGTGGTTGTATACTTATGCCTTAGTTTTGACAGATTATCTTTTGATCTAGTACAATAGTTGTGCACATCAGACATCTTCTTTAAGTGAGAAATGTTTTCTTTAAAAACATATAAAGATGGAAATGTAAGAGTGTTAAGACTCACAAAATGGGGCTTACAATGTGTTCTTCTATTTGCAACACAAATTAACCTCACCGCCTTCTTTTGTAAAGTAAAAAGCACCCTGTTAGCATAAAAACTGTAGGCCCACAGCGAGGTACCATAAGATAAATGGCTATGAATGTGCCCATAATATATACAAATATTACAAATACACCCTATACAATGAAGGTCTAGTTTTCCATTGTTACTTCTAGATTCAAAAGTAGGTCTAGTTCTCCGAAAGACCATACTGCTGATGTACGGTTTAGTTTGCTGACTCTTGATTCAGCAACTAGATCAGCTGTTGAATGTGTACGGTATTTCACTATTGAATCTAGTTTACACTCTTTTGACAGTATGATTGTTTTGCGTGGTTTCGTGGCGTCGCGGGTTTATTGCAACCCTTTTTTATGTGTTGAACAATTGAAATTTGACAATGTCGAATTTCAGGGATGTTTACAAACAATTTGTGTGCGTAAGAAATCCTGTTGACATTCATGTAATATTAGGCACTTTTGCCAATCGTATTTTGTTAATGATTAGAGATTATTGTAGATATTTTCCACAGTTCGCATTTTCCATTACTTAGTTTGACGGTGAAAATAAAATGTTAAGTTGAAATAATTCTTTGCTATTTTTAGAGTCTAAATTTGTACGTTTTGACACGAAAGTGATAGAAGATTTTGGATGTTCGAACCCAACGATATGGTATGTAATTATATATTTTATGTCGTAGAACGGTATGTATCGTAATCTATACTTATCTAATACGCAAGCAGGTTTTTTGTGACAATTACTACTCCGAAACTACTGAACCGATTGACATGTTTTTGGTGTCATTGGAAAGAGCGTAACGTGAAGTTGTGCAGGAAACTTTCTTTTTAGGGAAATAATTAGAGAGTGAGGCCCTGGGGTCCTTTAAAGTTTTGTATTTCTCCATAAGATTAACATGGGAAACAAACATTGTTATGAAACTCCAGCTGATGTCAGAAATGCTGTTCTGCTATTTAATTTAATTTGTTTACAAGGAGAATTGTTTCTTGGTGCCATGTGTTCAATGAATTATTATTTTACATATATTTTAAATGCAATACACTATATAAAGTGATTGTAATACAAAGAGATCTTAATTTAAATAATCAAATAAGCACGATTGAGCCTTTGCCTATATGTTTCCCGGTAAGTGTGTTTTAACTGGTTCTTATAGTATATAATAGTATCTTATAGTAAAACCAAAGTATTCTTTTCTGCATTCTCACCCCGTAGCGAAGCACGGGCACAGCAACTAGTAAGTATTAAAATGTTTAAGTGGGTTTTCTCAATCTCACTATTCTTAAATGGTAACGCAATTTGTATCAGAATACAAATGTTTGATTAGTCCAACTTATCACAAAATGTCGTCATATTTTTTCAATTAATGTTAACAAAGATCTACATAAGAACATAAGTTGTACCTCGAAGTGCCATTAATTGCTGATTGGTTAATCAGGCTATATCTTTTGTATTTAGAATGATGTAAAAGGAAACTAGAATAAGTCAAAATTAGAACACAATCCGGACTTATATTTTAGCTAGTGTTTATAGGGAAGTTAATAGCTCGAGTATTCGGGCTGTGAGTTGGTAGCAGTGTATTTAAGTGAACATTGACAGTTATTTATTTTACATTTCAACGGACAACTCCATTTTTACAGTTTTGAACAATATGAATGAACTCAAGACACCGACGAACATGCGTAAATGTATAAACCAAAATAAAATGCGTGAGGTATAGATGGCAATGACAAATGACAAATTAATTTTAGTGCGTGCAGTTGATGATAAATTTTGTAATGTGTAAATTGTGGGGTCCCCTTCTACCCTTTTCTTTGGCTTTTTTTAGTTTTGATAGCAATATTTATTAAAGGGCAGATAAGGGGATTACAATGGTCCCTAATGGGTTTCATGCAGTTTAATATTTCTCTTTCCCAAATTTTACCTTTTTTATTTAAAGTTTGGCACTTTTTGTTTTCAGCTTTTGTTTCCCGATTTTCCCTGGTTTCTGTACTAATCCAGTTGTACTATAGCCTACGTTTCTCTCCTAAAGATGTCGAAAGTCGTATAAATTTGTGTGGTAATTTTATTAATCAATTAAAATAAATTATTCTCAACTTTTCAAAATACATAGGCTTACTAACCAGAAAAAAGAAACTCACGAAGACATTTAGTAAGTTTACTCACCCATTAGTACTTCCACTGATCTGATCTCTCTGTACCTATAAACAAATAATTTTTGAACATTTTAAAAACAAAAGCCGATGTGTATGATTTTAAAAATCAGTTCAAATAAATTACCTCGCAAAATGTAATAAACTGTAGCCTAACATATGACCTAATGTTTTGACATAATCAGTTTTTCCAGGATATGGGACTGATATGAATATAAATGAAAACTTAACTATACATTTATTGCCGTAATACCATTGACTATAGGTATATTATCGTAATGAAAATACGTTAGAAGTAGATAAACTTCACCACCGTGTTAAAGTATCGGTCAGTAACCGATTTAAGAAGAGCATAGTTTAATTTTTGTTTGATGGCATTTTCTTCACTGAGTATTTTGACTACACAACGTTCCAGTAAGGGGGCTCCCCCCGTTTTCAAGTGACCTAAATGTGTGTATGTGTTATAGGCTATATTTATATCAAATAACCTTTTGGGAGTCCCCTTACCTCCCAAACGTAGTCAAAACACTTAGTAGGAAAGTTCCATCGAACTAGAAATTATATAGATACTTTGGCAAATTTAAGAACCTTCTTGGCTCTATTGAGCCAGGCTGCAAACATTTTAATTTTCATTGTTGTCCAAAAAACCATAGCAAATTGATAGGGAATATACTATTAACTATAGTATATTTTATGTGTCCAATAACTACAATTGTAGAATAAATTAAATGGAAAAATGAATCTTAAATAGTAACATTTTCCATAAGATGCTCTTTCAACTGATGTTTTCTTCGATTAAAACATGACTACAGCCGAACCACTTAAATTAAACAATTTAATTAAAAGGCCAGATTTGTTGATCCAGAATATTTGAATGTACAGTACAGTTAATTGGAATCGAAACTATAATTTGGATTAAATTATTTGCATATTAGCTGTTCATTATTTTAGGTAACAATATGATTAATAACAATAACAAAATTTGAAACCATCTGCCATTAAGCGTTGTTACCTAACATTTAGGCTAAATACTTGATAACTACTTCTGTCAGTGGTGGTTTCCAATAGTTCCTACATTCTATAGTTAAAGATACTTTAGGGAACAGCAAATTCAGTTTTCAGAAGGTTGTATAAAGTAAATTATAGTTTTCTACAACTTGAAACCTTCTTTTACTGATAATAGCAAATTCTCCAAAAAAATCTTTTAAAATCTTAGTTTTGAAAATTCATTTTCTAAAAGAAATATTGGAGAGTTGAGATACCTAGTATATAGCCCTTTGATTATAAGATCAAACCCTGTTTGAGTTTAAGTCGGTCTAACCAACCTACCCTTAAAAAAGCTAAGGCCGCTTATGATAAAAGTTCTCACCTTGTCAATCGCCCAGAAGATAGTGTATACTGTACACTGTTAGAAGGGGTCTGCTCTGAGGGGTGGGAGGGGTTGTTAAGGGTGGAATTGCTGTCTCAAGCTGTCATGATGTTTTGATTCCATTGACACAAGCAAGGCTAGTCGGTGACCAGCGAAGTCGTCAAATATTCATACTCACCTTAGCGCGGCCCTTTCGAGCGCAATTTGGCTTTTGAAGAGAATAACTCGTTAGGGGGAAAACTGTTCAAAGGGTGCTATCTTGCCTTCGTCTAGTACATCAATGAGTGTAAGGGGAAACAAAAATACAGTACTTTGTTGACGAACGACCGCTTCTGAATATACTATTAATAGGGTTTTCTCTACATGAGAATAACATGGTTATATTAAATTTACGGATTTTATAGAATTTTCCTTGTAATTGGAATTAGATATTCAACAATCCTTCATAGTCTTCGTTAACTCAACAATATACGCCTAATCAAGTCAAATTATCGTTGTTTGCTTAAATAAAAATTAATTTTTATATCAAAATGTAAAAGATATTTCAATAATACAAAATCACACTCTCACATAGTCCTGGCTCTATCGTAAAAACGATCTTGTTTATTTTTTCCCATTGATGTTTCAAGTATACCAAAAATTATTGGTTGGCCTGCCCGATTACAGTTTTTAAAAGATTCTTCGTATGAAATACACGTTTTCACCTCATGAACGAAGGTAAGGGTGGACACAACGACGCCTCCTCACCACTCACCACTCGGTGTTTATTCATAATCCCCACAGTTGTAGTTTGTAGAAGGTCTGTGTCAGTATAATGGTCTATGGTACAATACAACTCAATCGTCCCATTCAAATGTCACTGTCTAATGGACTATTCACTTATTCACTCACCGATCAAATAGATCAGCTGATCAGCTTTAAGAATCAGCTGTCTTGAATATTGTATTACGTTTTTGGTTTACTTTATACTAGCGTAATTCTACTTTTTAATGTTGAATTTGCTTTTTTAACTCTATATCTTTCATACACTTTATAAAACAATTGATTAATAATAGGGGGTTGTTTTAAATGTTAAATTTAACTAGAGGTCGTCCAGAGGTCGAAACCCCGACCAAAAATATGTAAATGTACAGACTTCACTATTTTTACCCTAAGCTGAAAATAAAACATATAATGGAATTTCTTTTTTTTCTGTTTATATTGTGTTGTTATTTCGTTACCAGCATGGCAATCCATAAGGTCTACGTTATTTTTTTTTTAAATTTAAAGTCATGTTTTGCTTATTTTTTAGCCTATTTTAATTTATGAAGGGACTCCGCACGTCCACAGGAAAATATCTTTCCAACAGTATGCGTAGATTTTCCCTGCGATGCACAAAAGGTGAGAAAAAGGGGGTTTAAAGAAACATGCTTGCCTATTAATATATAGATTTGGTTAATATACAAATTTTAATAGGGCTATAAATGTTCGCTTTATAAAATGAGTATTCCCAATTTATTTTAAAAATTTCTTCGTTCGGGGTTATTCCAATTATTTTATCTATTTTGGTAATATTTTACTGTACTTAATGATATGACGATCCGTAATTTTATCTTTTATTTTAGTTGATTTTTTACTTTATATAGTTATTTAACTGTTGAATTTTTGTTACATTTCCCTTTTATAATAGGGTTTCTAAGTATTTATAGTCTTTTTATTTCCAAGTTTATTTTAGTAAGAGTTTTTATTTGATCAAAAAAATTATTATTCCCATTTTTTTTTTAATTACTTATATTAGAGTGTCATAGTAATTGTCCAATTTAAAAAAAACAAGGACATACAGGGTGAATAAAAAGTCAAGACCCCCCCCTCTAATATTTTTCCAAGTAAATATACAGAGATATCCTTTTGGTGGTCGAGCAATCTTAGCAGGAAGTTTCATTTTATAATTTTGAAATTTTTGAGTGTCCCCCCAAAAGGGGGGATTTGGGGGGCAACTCAAATATTTTAAATGTAAACCCCCTTCAAGTGACACCTCATTTTGAAGTGTTAACAAAAAACTAAAGAATGGTGAAAACTAGAGGTCGCTATCTCTTCTCTATCCAAAATGGTAGCCCGTCAAATGTTGTGGAAAATCAACGGTAAAATTGTTAATATTGGCTGCCATTTTGGATAGAGAAGGGATAGCGAGCTCTGGTTTTCACCATTCTTTAAGTTTTTGTAAACAATTCAAAATGAGGTGTCACTTGAAGGCGAATTACATTTAAAATTTTTTAGTGTCCCCCAAAAGGGGGGATTCGGGGGACAACTAAAAATGTTTCAATAGAAACCCCCATCAAGTGACACCTCATTTTGAAGTGCTTAAACAAACTTAAAGAATGGTGAAAACCAGAGCTCGCTATCTCTTCTCTAACCAAAATGACAACCAATATTAACAATTTTATCATTGATTTTCCACAACATTTGACGGGCTACCATTTTGGATAGAGAAGAGATAGTGACCTCTAGTTTTCACCATTCTTTAAGTTTTTGTTAACACTTCAAAATGAGGTGTCACTTGAAGGGGGTTTACATTTAAAATATTTGAGTTGCCCCCCAAATCCCCCCTTTTGGGGGGACACTCAAAAATTTCAAAATGATAAAACGAAACTTCCTGCTAAGATTGCTCGACCACCAAAAGAATATCTCTATATATTTACTTGGAAAAATATAAGAGGGGGGGGTCTTGACTTTTTATTCACCCTGTACATGAAATCTGCGTTGGATTTTAATAACCTCTAATAATATAATTGTTTTTTTATCTACATGCATCATTCAGAATTTTTAATGTTGATTGTGTATTATGAAATGTTTTTTTATTATCATCTAAGTGTTACTTAGTGGTTATCATTCTTTGAATAACACTGGTTAAATTTCTGATGTTTCTTTTGCCAATAACACTGGTTAAATAGCTATCAGTTGGATAACAAATTTAGGTAAGCATGGTGAAATAAATCGTGGTTCAACTTTAATATAAGTAATTTAATAAATCTATAAATAAATATACACATAAAATGTTTTACACAAATACGGATAAAAAAGCTCTTGCATACATTTATGTACAATGATAAAACACTGGCATATTTACAACATTATTTACTAATATATACTAACATTATTTTCTAAACAAGGATCTTATTGTAAAGCTGTTCGTAAAATTCAATTACGTGCAAACATATTTACTGTATAAGTACTACTGTATTGATTTATAGACACACCTTTCAGCGTTTTAAAGCTATTAAAACATTGAAAATCCCTTAAGCAATAGGAACTTAAAAATTAAGTACTTGACATATATTTTAAACATTTTACAGTTTTGATTTTTCTTTCGTTATAACTAATGTAGTCAAACTTGTTTTCTATACAAAATATGTTTTTCGTTTCAAATTCAATGTTTTTACGCCTTTTAGCTACCATTTGTATTATAAATATATATTTAATGACTGAATAGACCATGTTTTTGTCGTACAATGGAATAAAGTTATTCCCGTTTCAAAAATTGTTTAGAAAAGTGCAAAAATTATGTGTATATTAAATTATTTCACATTAATAACTAACAAGATTCGATACCTTTACCATTTTCTTGTCAATAAATGGTCAAGCCTTCTTTAAAAATTATAACAATAAAAAGATGTGCATAGACTAGTATTATTGACTATTGGATACTGAAGTAGACTTCCCATCTATATGGACCAGCTGTAGCCATTAAAAAAAAGAACGTAGTTGTGTGAGCCAGTCACAGAATGCGCTAGTGTCAAAAATTCAAAGCTAGCATTTATCAGCTGATCATTACGAATATCTTTTGATAATGAAAAGTACAACAGCCAATTAGAAAACGATTTTACAATGTCCATATGACGTCACCACTGCAGAAGTATATACCTTAGCGTGCTTTTTATTGATTTATATCTGAACATTTTAATCGCAAGCATAATGTATAGCACAGTTTGTAAAGGGATATTTTGTCTTATCTCTTAACTATTTAAATAAAATCACAGAAATCTTGTTTAAACAACGAGCGTGATTTAAGTGCTGGAAATAATCTAAACCTATTCATAAATAAGCACGATTTATTTACTAGATAGGCTACTACAAGTAAATTACACTAGTAGTAACATATATACATTTTGTATCGCTTAGTGCTGTTTGGAAAGTAGAAAACTGATTACACTACATGAAGCAACATGTATAAATAATCAGGAAACACAGTTTGTTCCTTTTGTAGACTACTTTAACTTATTTAAAATGTTTTCAAAAACCTTAATTACAATTAAATAGTAAACTATGGACTATAGAAGAGAGTCAATTGTATAAAAAAATTAATATTTTGCTGTTAGAAAATAGAAATAAACTACTAAATTGTGAAAATAGTTTTTTTTCAAACGTTTGATTTTTAATGAAAATTAAACATTGCAAGACTAAACAATTAAATACAGTTTTTTTTTTCAATTTACTGTGTATTCAATTTTATTGAATTTTTTCTACTGCAATAAGATAAGAATTACTAAAAGGTTTAACAATCCAGTAAAATCATAGTAGTCTATGTATGAAAAGCTATAATACATATAATCGATGAACACGTATATTATCCTCTATTTCTGAAATAAGTTATAATTTCAATTGCTTACTGTTTTCAGAGTTATTTACAATCGTATGCTTTATCATTTAAAAGTACGTAATTTCATTCGTTGTCTCTTGCAAAATCTGCAGTCAACTTTAATAATACTCATGAAGTCTACGTATACTATACGATATACAAGATCGGGAAAGAATCTAAGTATATACTCGACTTTAACCGGGAGATCATCATACTACACATGATAATTTAGCAAACTGTCTTTTATTTTTCACCCATACGATGGATTTTTCACGAATCACCTCTTTTTCATTTCTTAACGACTTGTATCTCGTATAAATTTATACGATCATAATTCCACTAATAGTCTATTGCCGAACACACTTCACTGGCTTTATCACTGCTTAGTTTAGCTGGTGGCCATCAGTTTGTGCACTGTGTTGGCATGGTGATGGTGGTGGTGATGATGATAGTGGTCCGAACCGGATGATCCTCCTGGGAAGCCGAACCCTAGCTGGTGATGGTGCTGTTGCTGGAACGCCGTGTAGGGAGTGAAGTGGTCCTGGGTGTTGGAGTGTTCAGGGTAGGAGGGTTCACTCTTGACCAAGGGTAGTAGACTGGTGTGGCCCAGGTAGGGACGCTCCTCACGGTCCGAGGAGCCCTTGTGGTCTGGAACTAGAAGAGGAGATTAGAAGGGGTGTAATGTTGTGGGGGATAGAGAGGGTGTGAAATGTGAAGAGGAGTTGGTTGTAGAGGATGTAATGGGGAAAATGAATAAGAGTTGGTTGTAGAGGATGTAATGGATGAGGAGGAGGGGAATATAAGTAGAAGAGGAAGTTAGAGGGGGTGTAATGTTGTGGGGGAGGGGATGGGGAATATGAAGAGGAGTTGGTTGTAGAGGATGTAATGGAGGAGGAGGAGGGGAATAAAGGTAGAAGAGGAGGTTAGAGGGGGTGTAATGCTGTGGAGGAGGGGATGGGGAGTATGAAGAGGAGTTGGTTGTAGAGGATGTAATGGAGGAGGAGGAGGGGAATAAAGGTAGAAGAGGAGGTTAGAGGGGGTGTAATGTTGTGGGAGAGGGGATGTGTTGTGGGGGAGGGGATGGGGAATATGAAGAGGAGTTGGTTATGGAGGATGTAATTGATGAGGAGGGGAATAAAAGTAGAAGAGGAGGTTAGAGGGGGTGTAATGCTGTGGGGGAGGGGATGGGGAGTATGAAGAGGAGTTGGTTGTAGAGGATGTAATGGACGAGGAGGAGGGAAATAAAAGTAGAAGAGGAGGTTAGAGGGGGTGTAATGTTGTGGGTGAGGGGATAGGGAATATGAAGAGGAGTTGGTTGTATAGGATGTAATGGATGAGGAGGAGGGGCATAAAAGTAGAGGAGGATTAGAAAGAGGATATATAAGGAGTGGTTTGTGGAGTATGATGTGATTAACGATGCGGGGAGAGGAAGAAATAGTTGTAGATAGTTGTAAAAGGTAAGGAGGAAAGAGGCAAGATAAAGATAAGTTTGTGTTAGGAGGAGAAAGAAAGGTTATGAGGAGATTAGGATGTTGGAGGATGATGTAGTGAATACGAGAGCTTATGAGAAGTTGTACATTGTAGAGAGGAAGCTGTAAAAAATTAGGAATATTGAAGGTGATGAAATTTGTGGATAGTGAAAGAGTTATGGGATGGAAAATAATTTAAGATGAGTTCTATGTTGTAGAGGAAGATAAACTAATGACAGGAAGAAAGGGTTAAAAAGTTAATTTTTCAAAATGTCATCGGTGACGACACTTAAAATAAATAATAAAAAGAGTGGCTGTAAAATGAGGAGGCTGGCTAATGATATTAATGAGGACAAGGAAAAGGTTTAAAGGGAATTTGTGGATTGAAGAGAATAATGTTTTATTTCGCACAATTCTAAATTGTTTGGTAAAATATTGTGAAATGCGGCAAAGAAAATCTTATATTAAAACTTTAAACTCTCAATCAGCTTAACAGTAGTGCCTTCCAATTTAAAACGCAATGCTATACTGAGTAATGTTGTGGAGCTAGTTGCGAGACTATTGCAGGCGCCAGAAAATATACTCCGAGGCTACCAGATAGTGTTTAATAACAATATAATGTTTAAAACTTATATTCATTCGTTCATTATAAGATTTAAAACTGTTATTATTCTCATACAAAATTACAACGTTTTCACGAATAATGTATTAAAATTTTGTTCAACCACTTGATTTTTCCCACGGACGTTTTTATCTCCTTTTAATTAAAATTTACTAAGTAACGTCCAGCTCAATAAACTTGGTACTCTATGAACTCTATTAAACTACAGAAGATGTGCGGTTTTAGACAAAGAGTAGTGTCAGACATCGGGGTTGACTGTTGCTAAAAATTTAAATTGCAAAATGTAATATTACCTTAGGACTATGTTATAGACATAAAATAACAAATAACCTATTAAAAATCGAACTTGAAATATTTATTCATGTAAAATTACTATTCATGCATCAATTATTTACATAAAAGTGACGATTGACGAAAAAAATGTTTATTTTTTCAAATTAACAGAATTAGCTCACAGTACTGTGTCTGGGGATTGACGTAATCGTTTCAGCCCCACTTACTAACAGGGTTGCCACCCGTCCCGATTTGGCCGGGACAGTCCAGATTTTGGTTTCTTATTCCCGTATTTTAAGCCTATGTTAATCCGGGAGGGATGGGGGCAATGACCCTATTTTCCCTGACCTAAGGAGGCAACCCTGCTTACGAATGAAAGCTCCCAAAATTTGACACAACCACAAAAACCTACAAAGAAAACATTTAAGTACCCCTAACATTTATGTTCTCTTACCATTGGTGATGGCCAGTGTGCTACTATTGGAAATGGCCGGTGTACTGGATGTGGAAGTGGAAGGCATCGTCTCACTGCCAGAAGACTTCTTGGGTTTCCTCTTGCGTGTCTGGATGCCGTCCTTTCTCATGGCCAGTGGACGGTTGACGCCGTGCAGTTTGAAGTAGAGGCCACAGGCGTTGCAGACAGGCTCGCCGTCGTTGTTGCGTCGCCACAGCGTCGTCGTCTGGGTGCCACAGTTGGTGCAGCAGAGGCCTAGGCGTCTGGATGCCGTCTGCTGGGAAACAACAGTAGTTGAGTAATTGTACAATAGGAATTAATGCAGTTTCAAAAACTGGTCGTCTATAGAACCGTATTTGGCTTAAATAGCTATAAAAGTTGGAGGAGCTAAAGGTGAAGATAGAAGTGGAGGTAAAGATAGAGATTTAGAAGGAAGGGGATGAGCTAGAGGAAGAGGTAGAGGTAGATTGAGATGAAGCACGTAGAGGTAAAGGTAATGGGACAGCTTTTAGAAGGATTAGGAGGAGTTAAGGGAAGAGATGGAAGTGAATGTAGAGGAGGAGTGAGAGGAAGAGGTAGAGGTAGATATTGAGATGGAGCACGTAGAGGTAAAGGTAATGGGACAGCTTTTAGAAGGATTAGGAATAGGATTTTAGGAGTTAAGAGAAGAGATGGAAGTGAAGGTAGAGGAGAAGGAGGATTGAGAGGAAGAGGTAAAGGTAGATAATGAGATGGCGGTAGAGGCTTTTAGAAGGATTGGGAAGAGTTAGAGGAAGAGATAGAGGTGGAGATAGAGGAGGAGAAGGAGTTAGATGGAGATATAGAGGTATTAGGTATTAGAGGAAGAGGTTGAGTTGGAGGTAAATGGAGGGATTGAAGGGTTGGCCAAAGATATAGCTTTAATGAGGAGGGGATGAGTTAGAGGAAGAGTTCGATGTCGCGGTGAAGAAGAAGTTGTGAGTTGGTATTGTGAACTGGACAGGGTTACATCCTCAAACCAAACACATAGCTTTCTGTCTGAACTATACTCACCCCCAGACTGACTAGTCGCTTGGCAGGTTTGACCAGAGGACGGTTCATTCCGTTCATCTTGTGGTAGAGTCCGCAGGCGTTACACAGGTAGTGTCCGGTGCCGTCGCGGCGCCACAGAGGAGTGGAGATGGCGCCGCAGTTCACACATTCTCTACCTTCACCTAGCTGGAACTGCATCGCGTCATCTACACAGACATAGAGAAGTTAGGTGTGTTGCGAGGGAGTGTAGAGGGTGCAAGAGTGGATGCAGAGTGCAGAGTGCAAGTCTTATGCCAAACTCTAACTCTCCCGTCGTGAAGAAAAGAAGAGTTCAAGCTTTTGGGGGGAGACCTCACCACGTCTTGGCTATAAGTTTATACTTATTGCGATTTTAACCAACAGCCATGCAAAATCTATAATGTCTTTCTTATAAATTTTTCTCATAGAGTCAAGGACTTTCAGTCAAACTAGAATTTGCGTTTTGGAATTCTTCATACAGTATTTCTAAAGTCCTTGGTATGGTATAATCATTCTACGTGGTGTAACATGGAACATTTTACTATGTCGCGGTGCTTTGAATTTGAAGAGGATTTAGACAATTTTATCCTTCTCTGATTATCACGTCATGCAATAGTGGATTTTAAGCATTGATGGTTTCAATACGATGCCGAGTTGTGATGAGAATGTTAAGATTTGTTACTTTTAATATGTTTTCTGTTAATATGACAGCCTTTTTCTCGGTGAAGGACTTGGGGACGTAAATCTTTGGTTGAGGTTGAACAATATACTATCACCATGCTTTTTAAATCATTGTAAAATATGCATTGATGCGATTAAATACGAGATGGTACTTTACTTAAATTTCGGGAATTATTCTGAGTAATTATCCTGAACCAAACAATTGTAATTAACGTGAGGTTGTACGTTTCTTTTAACCATTTTCAATGTGTTTTAGTTACACGATTAAAATTAATCGTGAAGTTACAGTGGAAAATTACATAGTGAACACGTTTTAAGGGCTCAAGTTTCATGGTTAATTTTAGTGAAATTTACATATGAAATGTATTTATGTTGCATTTGAATGGTGTTTTCGGTTAAGTTGCAAAACATTTATTGCCATAGCAATTTAACACATCTAAAGTTACTTCTGCACTCACCGTAGGGCAGCGACCTCTGGAAGCTTGGGTCGTAGGCGCGCCACATCATGGTTGTCTGCGCGGCGTAGAAGCTGTTGGTGAAATGAGACGCCGCAGCCGGCGACTGGGCAGACCCTGGGTAGTGTTCGTGGCCGGTGTTCTGGGGGTGCCATGAGGAGTTCTGGCCTGTCGAGGAGTTGTAGGGGGAGTTCCACTGGAACACGCGGTTGGAGGGCACGTACACTGGCTGCTGGGAGTAACCTGCAGTAGGGAGTTGAAGTTGTAAATATCTAGCGATATGACTATAGATGCAACTATTCCATTCTCTGGATACAGTTGTGGAAAATATAATTGAAAGTAGGGAGTAAATGAACGTACTCGAATTTCACGCGAGAACACTCACTACTCTGTCAACACAATTTGTCTTTAAAAATCACTCCAGGAAACTTTTATAACTGAGTTTTAGCGAACTTCCCTATAGGGAGGTAGCTATTACCGTAGGTCTCATGGTAAACCTAGGCCCGGGACCGATATATTTTCGTTTTGAGGTTCCTAGAGGAAAAAACGGTACTTACGTATTAAACGGAGGCCACCTAACCTACAGATTCGATTCGATTAGTAAACCTTCACCATCAGCAAGTTTGGTTGGTTAGGTTAGGTTAAGATAGTTTAATTTGATAAAAAAAACATATATTTATGATAACCCAACCTAACATAACCGCTGCAGTGCGCTGTAAAATATGTGGCCTCCGTTTAATACGTAAGTACCGAAAAAACCCTATTCGTTCATAATTGTATATATATTATGTGTGTGTGTGTCCGAGAAGATGATAACTTGACTAATTTTCGTCCGGTTTTGGTAAAATTTGGTTTGAAAATGTAAGGCGGGATAAACTTGATTGAGTTCGCGAACCAGCATCGGACCATGGGAACGGGGTTTAGTGGGGGGGGGGGGTAAAAATGGGGGTTTCTCATTTTTTACCCTTAAAACAAAAAATGTATCACATTTTCTCCAGACGTTTTTAAAGAGCTTAAAAAAAATAATTTAGTATATCAAAGTGTTTTGTACGGTTATTGGTTACGGAGAAAAAAAAAAATGCTCATTTAAAATTTCCATGTTTTTCTTAGAGAGAATATCGTAAAATGTCGCAGTTGGCTTGTTTATCGATATTTTTGATCAAACTTTATTTATTCATTTTATACTAAGCTATTAATATTTTAATAATAATACACTTTATTAGTTTCCCTGTAGCAGCAAACCCAGGTATTCGTTAAACATAAATGTTCATTTAAAAGATTAATTGAAAATCAATCCAGGCAAATGATAATCGGCTTAGTCGGCAGGTTTGCTGCAGCGGGGTATTTACTGTAGAAACTATCCAACGTCTAACAAATTGCCAACTGTGTGAGTAATATGGTTATATTACAACTGAATCCTTAACAAATTATTTAAACTAATTTGTTATTTACTTAATATCTTGCATAATGTGATCAGGTACTTAGTAAAGGAATTGTATAATCGTCCGCAATTAAATACTGTTATTTTCATGTAAATGTTGATAGTATGGACTTTGGATAGGTACTGCAAATAATATTTTCGTCCTATTGTAAAACCCTATGCCTGTGTATTTCACACAACATCTCTTACGTGAGGGCTGTTTTTGTGAACACTACTCCTACCTTATTTGTGGACCAATTTCAACGTTTAAGGTGTCAAAAGATTCGGCCCAATTCGTAGTTTTGCATTAAGGTTTTAGAATTTAAAAGTTCCTACCTAATATCTGATCAAATGAATACATGCAAGAAATGTTTACTGAATATTTTAATTAGTTACATAAGCTTTGAGTCTTTTAACTTATTGAAATCGAAAATTATGAAAATTATATTATTACTGCAGTTTTAAATAACGCCTGTATAATAACGGTACTTGACAATTGTTCGATTTTGAGCACTCATAGAAGATGACTGTTATTTTTTATAACTCCTGTATAATACAGGTACTTGACAATTGCTCGATTTCGAGCAACAGGCACACAAGTTTTAATAAATTTCGTGAACGTTGATTTCAAACAAAATTGCATCTTCCGTGTCTTACAACATTTTTTACAATGTGCGCTAAGTTTTTAAGGGATGATTTATATTTCAGCTTCCTATTTTTGATTTAAGAGAGAATACAACAGATTTTACATAGGTATTCTTGGATATTATTCTGTTTACAACATAGTTGACACTCTTAAATCACAATGAAATTATTCAAACCAGCAAAATGGCCACCTCTGGATCTTCAACAGAAGTTTAACCTCTTATGGTAGTTTTTCGTGGGTTGCTACAGGTTTCTTGAATCATCTGGGGTATAACTTGGCAAATTTTGCTATCAGTTTTTCCAACAATGGTCTCGAGAGCGTGTACGATGGTGCGATGTAAGGATTTCAATCGCCCGTATTCGGAAATTATATTTTTTCAATACACCTTACACACCGAGAGTAATTGAAACTTTCTTCATCAAAAAGAAATATTTTTTAAGCACAAACTTTCTGCTGTTTTGACACACATTCTGAATAGAATTTTTACCATACATGATCAGTGGGCTCCAATTTGTTGGATTAAATTAAATTTTGATATGACTTAAGTGCAAATCCTTATGCAACATACGCTAAAGGGGTTCGTACAAAAGGCTAGAGGTCTGGGAAATGACTAATTGATAATTTTGGCTCTTCGTTTACACAACATCAAGATCAATATTCTTGGCTGATCGTACTTCAAAATGAAAACCAGGCCCTTAGTCTATATCTATTGACTCCAGTTTCCTTAGAATAACTTTATTGCGAATAGTTCGCTTCGTAGAATGGTTGAATTTATCACACTCTTCTCTCAAATTTCTATATAGGATTCACACGACTCCTGTAGACAGGCAGATTAGAGGCAGGTTACCTGCCTCTAGAGAACGTAAAGTTACTTGAGGCAGGTAACCTTCCCGCAAACATGCTTCCTATACAATTTTAATAAACTGACTTTTTGGCGTATTAAAAACATGCAACAATGAACAGCTGTTCTATTGTTAGTGTTGCGAAATGAGGAAACTGAAATTGGATCACCATTTACCATCTGACAATAATTGACAATATGCGATCCTAACCTTTGAGCAAGAAATAAAACTGGAGGTAGCACTTCACGTCAACTCTGCTAGAAAATCGAGACAGTTTAGGTTTGTTAGGTTGGTACCAACTAGGGGAATCGGCACATTGCTTCGTGGCTTTATGTATTTACAATCCCACAATCCCCTAGTTCAAATACACTCTACTTCATCCCCTAGTACACATGGTGGCCAACGTATCGCAATTCTCCCAATCTACATTAACCCTTATCTCTAGCTCAATGATCGTTACAGTTTTAAAGGTTTATAAAATTGGAAATGAACAGAATACATTGTTGCTTGAGATGATTCTCTTTGTCTAACCTGAGGTGTTGGATGTGTCTGACGTGTAGTTGGCCGAGGGGGCAGCGCTCGCAGCGCCGTGGAACATGGCTAGACTAGCCGCATAGCCTACTGAAACAAACATAATAACCAATAAAAACAACAAAAACTAAAACGCAACAACGTTGACAAACAAAATATGAGTAAAATACAAAAATTCTTGACAAACACTAAGGTGACAAAAAATGAAAAAAAAACGAATACCAGGGCAGTCAAAATAACGAAATTATAAAACAATAACTAAACAGTGACAAACAAAAAGCTATGAAACAAACAAAAAAATCCAATTAACATGATAACAAAACAGATGGTGACAAAAAACAACGAATCAAGCGAAAACAATAAGACATAAGATCGATTTATTTCCTTTAAAACTTACAATCATAAGTCATTGGAAAACGTCAATTTCTAGTAGGTACATTATAAAACATACATTAAGATTTATGAATAAAACAATTCCTTCAACATCATAATAGAATTACAGGGTGAGTTTCTACTGACGCCCATAACTTCGCCAGTGGATTCTACTGATCAAAATGAACAAAAAAGTTTATAGTCCGATTCCGAACCGTTTGGTCGTAATTGAGAATTTTGTGTTTTCTAAAAATATTGGACTTTGGGGTATCTTAAACAAGAAGTTTATCGGACGCCAGTGGAATCAGCTGAAGAAGTGAGAAACCGAATTGTCACAGCTACTGCACGACTACGCAATACGGTAAACTTGAATGCTACTGTTAAGCTATGGTTCCACAGGATGCGGAATCTCCGCCATGCGGTGCGTAATTTTTCGCAGCGGAAAATTACGCAGCGAAAAATCAGAGGGGTGGTTCTACAGACTGCGAAAATAACGTTGCGGAGATTCAGTTCCGTCCAAACTAGCGACGAGTATGAATAGAAAGAGGAAAGCCCTTTTGGCTTTGATGCTATATGATGACATTGATGATGATGTTGTCGATCTTTTATCTTTGTTAGTGTCAAGTCGCAGTGACCGAATTGACATATTTAAGAATCGGGACAGTGAAGGGGCGTATAACATTCTGGTTCGTAATAATTTAGTTTACAACGAAACTAAGTACTTCCGTGTGTCAAAAGACCAATTATTTTTCTTTTTGGTTGATCTCATCAAAGATGACTTACCCACCAACGCTACTAATCGAGCCAAACAACCATTGAATGCCGAGATGAAACTAGCGGTTACACTAGGGTATGTACCAATACTTAATATTTTTGCTATTTATTTAACGAAACTTAAGGGGTTCCAATCACGATCAGATCCCGTTCAACACTTGATACCCAAATGTCTCAGGATAATTGTTCGTCAGGTCTACCATTTTCGACAGTTTATGTTAAATGTATTATAATAATTTATTTAAGAAGTTAGTTTGTTGAAAGTCGGTGTTGTGATTATAGGTATTACTTTATAATTGGCTCAAATGTTGTGTATAGGTAAACGTGACCTAAAAAAACCATTACTTTTATCATTGAATGTATTCTGGTGTGATTGTGTGCATACGTCTTCGCTAATTTCTCAGAAATCCACTGACATGCGATTTCCACATCATGTTGAGACACCAACTCGGCAAGTTCTTCCTCTTTGGTCGAAGAAAAACGTTCATCCATAACTCTTTTTACAGCACAAGACATAATGAAACTGACGGTCACAATATTTGATGGCTCTTCTCCGCTGGCGGAATCCGCACTGCTACTGCTCTCAGACCAGTATGATTTCTCCGCCATGCGGAACGGAAATTTCGGGATGCGGAATCGCAAGTCAGTGGAACCAGACACATGGGAACTCCATTAAACCAGTGTCGGTTTAATTCCGCAGCGGAAAAAATCGCACCGCACGGCGGAGATTCCGCATCCTGTGGAACCAGGCCTTTTAGAGAGTTGAGAAAACGTGTCCGCATCTGCATAAGACAAAATGGTAGTCATTTCGAAAACTTGCTTAAGTAGCAATCAACATTGATTGTCTATTCTGAACGCTTGTAATTAATTTGTTAATGCCATTGAGTTACTGTATGAAAATGTTGTGTTCATTTGTCTTGCATTATTAAAATAAGAAAACCCTTACTCGTAAACCTGGTTTTTATTTAGTTTCATAGTAGTTTTGTTCATAGTAGACTTGTTTACAAATCATAACAATTGAATCAGCTGATTTGAACCAGTACGATTTCAACCAAGACATGTGTAAATCAGTGAGTTTAATATTAGTAGTTTTGTTACCTTGCTAAAACCAAATCGGTAAACCGTGTTTTACTTTAGTTTGATGGTAGTTTTTCTGTCAATTCTACCAACAACAATTTAAAATTGCATATCAATTTAAAGCTTATTAAATGAGGAAGTTTTTTATCTAGTTGGACATTGCGTGGCACCAGAATAAGGTGTGAAAAATGGGTCTTAAAACTTAAACAAAATAACTATTATACGATATTTTTTACTTTAATTCTGCTAGGAACCGATGTATGTAATGAAATATTTTTTCATGTAACCTTGGTTTTGTAGCAAATTTAATGCCCTTTCGAATTATTTTTGATATAAATCGCTAGAGTAATTGGTTTTATTTTTATAAAGTAAATAGTGACAGAAAGTCCAATATTTTTAGAAAACACAAAATTCCCAATTACGACCAAACGGTTCGGAATTGGACTAGGGTTTATATCAACTTTTTTGTTCATTTTGATCAGTAGAATCCACTGGCGAAGTTATGGGCGTCAGTAGAAACTCACCCTGTATAATACATACATAATGTGACCTGAAACTCACCATGCAAAGAATGAAAAAAAAGAAGAAAAAAAACAGCACACTTGGCAAATTATCGGTCAAAAAAAAGTACTTACATATTCTTTATTTAATTTATAGAATTCATCAATCTCTAACAATGGACTAGGAAGTTGAAATAGAAAAGAAAGAAAACAACTGTTACAATAGACATGAGTGCTATAAATGTAAATTACTAAAACAAACTATAAACTCTGACTAAAAGTATCAATGGGTAATAAAACAGAACTTTTTAAGATCCAAATAAAACGAAAAAGAATGCCAACCAACCAGCTTTAAAATTGAGTCATGTATGGAATAAACAGAAAGCACAGACAAACAAAATGGATTACAGTAATGACAAAAAAAAAACTTTAAAAAGAAAATTCAAGTAAAACACAAAAAACTGACATACATAAAATAATTTTGCAACACAATCTGAAGAAAATACAAAAATGGTGTTTAACAAATAAAGAACCGTAACAAACAACGTTAAAAAGTGCAATTTAGATTTTCAATTTGTGTATTTTAAAGTAAAAAGATCTTTTATGGCACTTAATTACACGATTTATTAGTTTTTACAGTATTAAAATAATCATTAGCTAAATTTTAACCCTACATGACTTTGAGGTTTGGAAAACATTACCGTTTGCTTAGTAACACGTTCAATTGTTTAAACGCCCAAGATTCGAGCTGCTGGGTAAACTATTATACTGTAGAAAAGAAACATTTGTTAAATAACTTCGTGCTAAATAACGATACTGCTGAAAGTCACCCTGAAGTAATATTTTCAAATATATAAAGGTCAATGTGTATGAAAATCTAACCGACCCAATGAAAAATAGCCCATGCGTCACATTAAAAAAATCACTAAATTTGTGTATATATTCATATTACATATGATGTATTTAAGTTGAATACGAGTGATGGAACATTTGTTATAATAAATATGATTAGGCTTTTGATAATTTCAGGTTTTACAGTTTAACTTGCAGTGCGTAAATAATAACTGACCAATTTCTAAAAATAAATTCTCCAGCTAATACTAAATCTAAGTGTAAAACATACTTCGGATCAACTCACAAATTGTCAAGCAAATTACATGAAAATAGTTAATTACACGATTCATTTGTCCACCGCACGTGTGGGGTTGGTATCACTGGTGGCAGATAGCGACCGGAAATGCGGGCGAGGGCTCCCTTATCAGTGATACCAACTGTTATCAGTCATGCAGGCATTGTTTTGTCACTGTTATCAGTCGGTCGTTACCGTAGTCTGATAATGAGTGATAATGAGTTGATTACCTCATGGGACACCTTTGTTGTAGATTAAGAAACCTGTTTATCTATATGTTGTTAACTTGCTGTTTTTTTATCCAAATATAAATGATAATATTGGTGATTTTTATGTGTTAAAACTTAAAAGTCCAGCGCCTTCAACTATTGACGGGCAAAATAGATGCTGTACTCATTTTGCATGTGCATATTTTGAAGGGATTTAAAAGGGAGGATGAGCTAAAAATAATTGAGCCATTCTAGTTTTTAATGCAGATAATTATTAAATGTCATCAGCTTAGAGTTGCCTTGCAAGCTGAGCTCGTTTCTTCAGATGGTAAAATTTATTATTCATAATATTGGCCCCAAGACCGAGTCTTGTGGTACACCGTACCTCACTCACTGATTTGGTTCCGTCTATTGAGACTATCTACTGGTGGTCTAGAGACCAACAGAAGAAAAAGTCGTCCTTGGACACTTTTATCAATTTTTCTACAAAAAATTGTGCGAAACAAACTTGAAAGCCTTACTCAATTCAGCAAGAATCATCGACACTGATCTTTTTCCTTCTCAAATGTCGAAGATATTAGAGACCAATCTTGATACAGAAGATCTAAGAAACTCTATTTGGTGTCTTTGGCGAATTTGTTCTAAATGAGCCGCTGGTATTTTATATTAGTCCCAAAAATCCTTGGCCAGTGCTGGTATAGTATAGATCAGGCTTTATACATATGTTAAGATTTACAAATGTATAGCCCCGAACCCTATAGTTCGACACCTATTTTAAAGTGTAGACTGTAATATGTAGAAAGATAAACAATATTATGTATCTCAGGCAATGAGAACTTTCTATAAATTAGAGAAAAATCTCCATAAGAGCCGTATAATAATTATGAAAGGTTCTGTAGACCCCTGAAAACTACTGTAGACGAAAGTAATACTGCACGTCTATTGAAGTTTTCCAACATAAGAATTGGTGTGATGGAAATGGGTTGAGTTAAAATATGGGGCTTTTTGAATGTATTGAGTTTAGTAGTT